CATTGACTCGTGACCCCCACACGCACACCTTGGTACAGAGCGGCCTGTTAAGCGTTGTTGGCGTCGCAAAGCTATTTTCTGGTTAATAACAGCCTCGGGGATTTTTCCTTCTTCTTCCCGGAAAGAAATCCGGGAGTTTTTCCACAGAAGTCATGCGTGCTTCTGTCTCACACGGCGTTCCGGCCCGTCCGTCCCGCTTCCCCTCGCTCGGCTCACCTGCCGTTGACTGTGACCGTCCCGCGTTCTGGTCTTCCCCCCTTTTTGTTTGTTCCAGAACATCCTCCTGGAAACCATTTGTCACGTCTTGAGTCGAAGGAGGGGGGGAGGCTGTCTTACTCGCTGTGCGATTGTGGAACTGTGTGCACAAGCATGTAAAGCTAAACGAAGCGGTCCCATGACTATTGCAGTAAAACACACAGAGTCATTATGCTGTGCTGATGCTGCACAGCTCAGGGGTGCCCTCCCCCCACCCTCCCCCCGCCCGCCTTTAGGCTTTTCGGGGGGGGGTCACTTTCTTGCACACGCAGGTGCCGCCCGACATGGATGTCTGCCTCATTTGCGAGGCAGGAGCCCCCGGCGGGGGCGTCGGATGGTTAACTATTTCAGACACATCTCCGCCACCCGGGTCCCGAGTGGCGGCGACAAGCCAGAGCACCTGTGTCGCACAACAGGGCGCCGCACACCACAACAGCCACGTGTGATCTGTTCAGCCTCAGCTTACACCACACACACACAGCCCCATCCTTCTCTGGTTGTTTAGTCAGTAGATTTTTAAAAAAGGGTTCAATCATGGATCATTTTTTAAATAAAAATTCAAGCAGATTGACCACTGGAAGAATTGCAGCCTGTCTCTATATGATGCATCCCAGCTTGGTTCCACAAGCTTGTCAACCAACATGAAACCAATTATGTGAAATATGTCACTGATTTCTGCCACACAGGGAAGCCATGAGCAAATGAACTGGCATTGCTTTTGTGTTTCAGGCTAGAGGAGCAGCAATTAGTCTTAATATTACAAGCGTGAGAGAACTCAAGCGTTTTAGCTTGCATCCTGCTTATATTTCATGGTTTGTGTTTTCTAACTCGATGTTTCCATCTTTGGGCTAAAGGAATGGAGGATTTTCAGGGTGAGCATTGGGAACATAAAGCAAAACGCCGCTAAACGGGAGCCACTGAAGGTGTGCCTCTGCGTATTCAAAAGGCAAAGAATAATAACCAAAGAAATGTTATAGAGTTTTTGCTTTCAGGGCAAACTAGTTTGTTCCTCTTAAGCCGCCAGTCTGTTTCCGTGCTGCTCACATTCACACACACGAGCTGCAGGACAGTTCACGTCACCCACACGCCAACACAGACTTTGAAACAACAACAAGCAGATACTTTTTCATGTGGAATTTCTCCATTCTTTAGTTAAAAAGACGAGCAGGTTTACTGCTTTAGAGCTGAGACAGTTTCTAGAGTTAATCTTCTGCACCAATAAGTTTGGCGACAAACTTTGTTAGAAGAAGAGCGGTGTCTATTTTCTAACGTAATAAGATAGACGGAGAGTCGAGGTTCTCATTCTCATCCGTGCTGGCCAAATGGAATTGGTCTGTGTTTTAGTCAGCGTTTGAGACAAATGCAGGGGGAAAAGAATAAGAGAGACCTTGGTTTCATATTAGATTAAGCTAAATTTCATTTGGGCAAAAGGAAAAAAAACTTACAGAAAATGCAGTTGAAACATTTAAGTTACAAGGAAAGCAACAAAAAAACAGCTTATCAAAGTCTGTGTTTTTCCCAGATAACAAGGAATCAATGTATTCAAAACCCATTTAAAGTTAAAATTTTTAAAAGTTTTGAAAGTTTGGCCTTTTTGAATAGGACTGAAGTTATTCAAGAGATTCATGCAGACAAAATATAAGTTTTTATAGCAGTTGTTTTTTCTTCTTTTTTTAAGTGGACAGTTTTGTCTCTAATGACTTAAGAGGGCAGTACATTCAACTGATACCTGGGTTAAAAGGGATTATCTAAAAACTGTATATGATTTGATGTCTGCTCATATGATACCAGAAATGCTGAATGGACATCATGGGAATCTTTTCCTGGTCTAAAGATGACAACTTTAACCTGCTGTGCACCCAAAAACCATCAAGCAAGGCACAATACACAATAATCCTTTTAAAGCCATGTTTCCCCTCTGTCTCACTCCCTGTTTGTGTTTTTTGTTTGTTTTTGTTTTCAGGAATTATTGTCCTGAAGCAAGGTTGTTGGTTTGTTTTTGAAATTTTATTTTGTATCTTTTTTTGTGTGTCCTCTCTCTCGTCTTGTGGTTCAGGTGGAATCGCGGGACACATTGAACAGCATTGCGCTCAAGTTTGACACCACACCCAACGAGCTGGTTCAACTGAACAAACTGTTCTCCAGAGCAGTGGTGCCTGGCCAGGTGTGAACCGCCGTGCACGCCCTCACTCAAACGTTCGGCTCCACAACCCCATCACGACTAACAGCACAAGCTAATTTTCATAGCTCCAGCTCATCCTTTCTCCTTAAAGTCTCTGTCCTGCACATGGAGATTCGATGGAAAAACTAGCAAACAGTCGACGCACTAACCACATCCCTGCACTTTTTGTCCATCTCTGCCTGATAATTGCACGTCACTTGTCCCATTAGGAGGCACAACACTGTTTTTATGTCCTAAAATAGGATAAAATTATGCTGTCGTCCTTTCTGCCGTACACAAATTAGCCATTCCTACATTTCACAAACTGCCAGAGCTTTAACCTTCTTCTCTGGCTTTAATGCTTAGCAATTCTTTTTAGGGATTCTCCAAAAATCCAAATCCAACTTTTTAAAATATTTTTTTATATGGAAGACATCTAAAATACTATTTGTACTTTATGAAGTTAAAACCAAATCTGGTGGAATTGACACAAGCTAACACCACTGCTATCCAGTAATCTGATTGGAATACTTACTTATCATCACGCCTCTACTAAGATTAGGCCACTAAAAAAAGGTTGCATTATTTAAACCCAAAAGCTGTGGGTGAATAAATAAATAATTCCCCAACTTCCTTCTGAAATAAGGAAGTAGAGGGATTTTTCCATTTTCCTTCAGCATACCAAATTTGACATAACACAGAGCACGTGAGCCCCCTTAAATGGAATCAAAGATATGTTTTTGCTCTTAGTATAGATTAGCTTGATTAAAGTAAAGTAAAGGGACTGCTTGGTTACCCCCATCCAAAAGTAACTTTATAGAGGATAATCTCAGCCACCATACGGCTGGCTGAGATTATCATGATAATGGAAATTTGAGAGTAATTTCTTACTTTTTTCCAAAATTCATATTATGTATTAACAACTTTTACAAACAAATATGTACAGTCGTTTTTAAAATGGTTTACATAGGTATTAAATTAAAAGTCTGCAATATTTTCCTTACCTTTTTACTGTAAACTAAAAACCCCTAGAAATAGTGCTTCCAGGGGGTAAAAATATACATTTATATATATGTACACAGATACATATATGTAGAGATGAAAAGGTAGTTCAACGCTTCCACCTACCGAAAAGAGCGATGGATTTGGTTCAGTATCCAAAACCCTTTTCTAGGAGCAAACGAGAGCATAGTGGATACTTCCTGTTTTGTATGCCGAAATGCAAAACTCTGAGTCTGGGTCAAAGTTTTTTTCTTGTGGCTCCTGAGATTCAAATTAAGGCACCATGTGAAGGCTTGTGCAGACATTAAATATTCTGGGGAGATTCCACTTGAATCTAAATCAGTTGTTGAAGTAGGGAAACTAATTTCATACAGCTTTGGACAGACTAAAATGTTTCAATATATTTATGAGAAAAGGTATAGATCTGCTCTGAATATAGAATAATTTAATTCAATTTACATGTAAACTTGCTGTACCTTGTAACTGTTAACTGGGATTTTTGCTCACTGGATGCATATGAAACCATCTGTACAAAAAAAAACCCTCAAAACCTCTCCATATATCATCCAGCCCAAAAGTACTACAGTCCAATTATTTATCTTTTTAAATATATTTTTTCCGCATTCAGATATTTCCAAGGTAGCATCCATCGATTTAAAAAAATACCTTGTATTTTAAACCTTGGGCCAGCACATAAAAACTTAGCATTGTAACAGAAGCAACTCATCTGTTTATAGGATGCCAATTTCTCTATTATGTAAAGCAGATACCATATCAGTAAGATGCGCTTCACTCTTGTTTGTAGATATATAAAATGCAGGCGGAGACTTTATTCATGGTTTGGTTGCTAGCTGCAAATGCCACCAGATGTTACATCCCATTATTGCTGATCTTAACCCACCAACTCTCACATCATGAATATCTCCTTTTCATTCTGTGTTTGTTTTGTCAATAACATGGAGCCACTCTAACGATTTCATGTTATTCTCCTCATAAAACATGTCACCGGGCCATTTAAGAAACTCTCTCCCTATTTGTGTGTGAGTGGTGTTTGCACAAGAGCAGCTGCCTGTGTAAATACAGACATGGATTGTGTTTGCAGGTTCTGTACGTCCCTGATCCCGAGTACGTCTCCAGTGTCGGAAGCTCCCCTTCCCTCAGTCCCATCAGCCCCCTGTCTCCCACCTGCTCTGAAGCTGATTTAGAGAAGGCGACGGTACGTTGACCACACCTCCGATTCACAGCCTCACACACTCCGAGAATGTCTCGTTATGAGAGGGAGACGAAAATAAACCTGGTCCCGCTTCTCCGTATTGCACCTTTTGGTTGGTAATCCAAAGGAACGATGCCATCGTCGGTCAAGAAAGAATTTGCATCCGTTTTTAAAGGAAAATGGCTTTATCTCCAGGGGTTTAACACTGAAGCAGGTGGTGGATATGGAGATCAGCTGCTGGACCCTTTTTTAGCCTTATTACTCCACATGGTGGCTCACATGCAGGGCCTCCCACACACACATAAATACACACATCTACACATGAATACTGTTTTATCCCTCAATCAGCACTGTCAAGTCTTAAAGCTCTGCTATGTTCGCCTGAATGTAAACAGCCTGGATAATGAGTCAAGCCGTCAGAGACAGAAAAGACAAAAAGAAGTGCCCATAAAAGCTGCTTTTTCTTTTCAAGGACAGGAAGAAATACGTGCGCTTATTATGTACATAAAGGGTGCAATTGCCATGATGTGTGTTACTGCCAAAAGATGAGGGTCTTCTCTTTTCTGTGTGTCCGAATGTTGGGAAAGTAGTTTGTCACTAGTCATATTTTCTTCCACGTTATCCTTCTATATGTAAACAGCCGGTAGAAATTTAATCTTCTCAAGCTTTGAAACCCAAGTAGGTCTTTTCATTGGTTAGATAGAAACGGATTATCAGTTGGCTGTTTGATGTTCCTTATCATTTCTTGACGATACCAAAACATTAACAATCAGTATATTGCAGCCAGGGGAATCTGTATCCAGCTCTATTAATCTGAAAGACGAGCCATGCTGTCAGAAAATCACAGATGAATGAATCTGCAGACGAAAACGAATTGTCGTTTTCAAATGGTTTACGATCACACTGGAAACAAAGAAACAATACTTTAAACGTGATGGAAAGTTTTAGTATCCATCCTTATGACTGTGTCTTTGTTTCAATCAAACTCAAATATTCAAATATATATATATATGAATATATGTGATTAAATAACACAGATGCTGCCCAGGTTTGACATTAGCTGCTAATAAAGCATGGATTCCATATTCAAAGTATACGTATGCTGTCATATTTCCGCTCTGACACTGGCTCCCATCAGCTTGACAGCTCTTTCCAGTCCTCCGGCAGCAGATCATAAGCATTTTTTTTTTTTCCTTCCCCCGTATGAGGCGAGTTCAGGAGTGATTCCGACAGCCATACGTGGGCTGGCCTCACGGCTAAGATGAGCGGTATGAGCCGTCTCCCTCCGGCGCTGTGGCTGCGGCGACCCGACGAGAGAAATCATTAAGCCTCGCTTGATGCCCGGCGCTCCCTAAAGAAATATGTCTGTTTGCCGATCTCCATGGGAACGTGGTTCTTTTGTGCTATCACAAGAGCGGGCGTCTCAGCTCTGCCGTATTTCCGGTCGCTTGTCTGACCTCTTAAGTTTGGGCAGTTTCTCCCCAGGTCTGTCTCTGCACAGCACCCCAAAAAAAAAAAAGGCCTTGTTCATTTAAAACTTATCTATTTAGGTCACGGGGTGCGTGAACGGGAGCATGTTCCGTGGCTCTGGACGGGAGGATCAGAGAAAGAGGGCCCGCCACTGCAGAGAAATTAAGCCTTTAAAAGCGACGGCGTGTTATTTAGAGCAACTAATGAACGGCGCGGCTCCCCCTCTCTCCCAGACAAGCAGCCAGGCAGCAATTATTCCAAGCAGAGGAAGTGTGCTTGGAAAGGCAGAGTGGAGGGAACATTACCTCATTCGGCGTGTCAGCTCGGTGTTTGTCGGTGGTGTGTGCGCCCGGTTCTGTTAACTGTTAACGCTTCTGACTGCTCCCCTCGTGTGCGAGCGTGATTTAAATCAGTACCAAGAGAAACGCAGCAGTCAGGTACAATTTTATGGATTTATTCTTACCGCAGGAGGGCCCTTTGAAACCTTCTCTGCGTATCTTCTTCAGAATCCCAGATTTTTTTTTTTTTTTAATTAAAAGCTTTTTTGGTACTCTGCATGCTCGCCCTGGTAGGATCTTATCAAAATGAATGGTTCTGAGAGGTGTGTAGTGATAGCAGTGTACTCAATAAACAGCTGGTGAAGCTCTGATGAAGATGAGTACTTTAAAAAAAAACACACTTCCAGATGCATCTCTTTTAGATCAGGACATAATAGTAATCGAATCTAACAGACAATGCTTAAAAAAGCGATTAAATGAACCTCAATTTCCCATTCATTTAATCTATACTGAAGCACTTTATATTTTGTGGAGCTAATTGAGCTATATATATGTAGATCTGTCATTCAGGGACAAACAATATTTTCCCAGTCCCTTCTGAATGCACCATCAGTCCTTAATGTGATAATGTGATAAGGAATCCGTCTGTTATTCCTCCCATTTTGCTCATTGAAATCAGGTATTAAGACATCAGCACCAGATCTTTTAGGCTATATAAGCTCTGCGTCGACTGCTGCCGAACCAATTTCAGCTCCTAGCCAACACTCTGTCACCACTTTATGGCCTGTTGCTCCCTCCGGAGAAAAGGATCCATCAGAATTGCTCGCACCGTCCCAGGCTTAAGCTGAGATGCTCCCAACAGCCGGCTGACTAAGTGACTTCCCAACAGTTCGAAAAAGCTTTTCAAGTTGTTCTTCATCGCAAACTTCCATTACAATGAGATATGATTTCGCGGAGCGCCTTAAAAAGGGAATGCACGGTCCAGCTGTTAAACTTACATTCAAATGACCGTCCGGGTTTGGGTTTTGAACACAAGCTCGGGTGTGGAGTAACCTTTGTGTGCCTTAATATATGCTATAAGCTGTTTACCCGTCCCATAACACATAAGCAGCACTCGGGTTTAGTTATGGAGGAGTGGTTATTTAGAAATGAACAACTGTCAACGGTGTAGTGGCTGTGAAATGTGATCTGTCAAATGCTTTAATGCGTTTGTTGTACAAGCCCTGCATGCTTCAGTAACCAAGCGAGGATTGTTTTGTCTGCGTCCACCGTCCACTCCTATAGTTCAGAGGGAGCCCAGAGCCGGATAGGACGGGCTCTGAAGGGTCTTCGTGCTCTGAGTTTGCCTCTTGCCCTGCTGGTATTGGCAGAGTAAAAGTAACACATCTTGCAGGCACAGATCATTGGCTGCCTGTCTGACTGGCTCTTCGAGTCGTGTTTATAAGTGTGTATCTATGAGTGTGTGTGTCTGTGTTTGTGTGGGGTTGGCTGGCTGCCTCACCGTTTGGCAGCCACCTCTCTCTGGCATGTTGCTCCCTGGTCATCTGCGTGGGCCCTGACGTCCTCCTCGTCCTATCCGGACCTTTCCCCGTGCCCGCACCGCCACACAGACACGCACACGCTGATTCACCCCCGGTAGCTCCACTACTACTGTGAGCTTCCCCGTTTCTTCCTCTTTTGGCATTGCTATAGCTTCCCTGCCCTCCTTCCTTCCTCTCTTCCTTCTGGGGAGCGGTCTAAAATTAGTTTAGCGTGAAGTCAGGCCAGTTTTGGTTACCTTTACATCTCAAGCAATGCTAAAAATGCAACACCTCCTGTGTCTATTGTGTTTTTACTACCAGTCTTTTCTTATTTGAAATTTAAAAACACCGTCCATGTATTATGAATCATGGCAGGTTGTGTATAGAGCTGATAATGGACTGAGGAGAAACAACAGCACAGAATCTTGTTCAGGATTTGTGGATTGAGCCCTGGTTCATCCATCACCTGCTGAATGTTGTCACCCCACTAGGTGGTGCTGTGGATTGATTTTTGTTTACGCCATGTGTCACTGTCAAGGTCAAAGCTGGGTGGCACCTGCAGACCAGCCATTGCACGGTGAGAAATGCATGAAAAATACCCAACATTCCACAGTATGTCTTTGCCAGGTTTTCATCCAGACATTGTCTGTTCAGTGGTTGTATGGAGGACGTCATTTTACAGAATCCACATGCTCCTATGCTATTTTTCCTACTTTTAAGTGTGACATGAGAAGGAAGTATTGTCGCAAAGATAAAGGGGGCGTGGGGGGTAGGAGGTTGTTGATCAAATAGACTATTCTCACTATTTTTCAGGAATAATAATGAGCGTTGTGTTATCTTAAGAGAGCATAATTAGCTTGATTAATCCTTATTTCATTTCGATGTAAAAAGTGTTTTTTTTAAAAGGATTATGTCAGTGAAATTGGCAACCGAATCCTTATATGATTTAATTACAGCGCTTTCTGTGATGTTTTATTTGATTTGCTATAATTTATTACTAAAGATTGACTTTAATGTTTTATTTTGAGTTTATTTGGATCTTTTTGTATAACACAGGGTTATAGTAAGGGACAGCTCGCCAAGGTCTTTAAACATAACTAAGTAAATTAAAAAATTTCCAAGCCCACTCAAACTCTTTTTTTTTTTTTACGTGTACAGGCTTATTGAGCCTCGGAGTTCTAATTATTTACTATCCTTATGATGTTGGACTCACTCACAGTATACAAAACAGTTTCTAAGATGCTAACTGGACTTGACCCTTGGTCTCTTGGCTAAGTCAAATAAAGTCTGTTTGTTTTTGTTATGGGATTTTTCCCCCACATCTTTCCTCTGTAATTTAACATTTTGCTTGTCTAGACAAGGGTTAGTATGAGTTATAATAAAAAGGGAAGGCAAGTTTAGCGTAACCCCTTAAGTCACTGCACTGTTTTCCAGCTGGGACAATATTGGCTGCCTTAGAGGCCAGTGCAGGACAAACAACGATCACATATTAAAAGGTAAAAAATGAAAATAATAGCTCAAAAGCTATATTAACTTGAGTAATATGAAATACCGTTGGCAGGGAGGTATCCACTGCTGTATTGATTTTCTTCGGTGTACTTTTTTTTTGCTATCAAGCATATTCTTTGAGTACAGTTTAACATAAATATATATATCGATATATTCAGTATGAAGAACTTGAGTTAGCATGTTGGTATCGGAGATCAGACCACAAAATCCTAGAACTTTTCAAATAATTCCATAAATGTATTAAATCTTGACTTCAGTGTTAAACTTTTTTATTTTGGAGTATTTTTTTAAGAAGTTTGATGGGGAGTAGCTTTAATAATGGACATGTGGAGAAATCACCAAGAAATCTTAGCCAATTTAAATTGCTAGCTAAACTGAATTGTTAGCTAAAGTACTGTATGAATGTCTAGCTTGTTAATTATGTAAGTTAAAGAAAACTAAAGTGGTGGTCCTTGTGGAAAGGATATTACTGCATTTTTTTAAAAGGTCATGTAACTGGTTACATAAAAGTTTAAAATAAATGTTTAAAAAATGTCATTTCAAAAATATAAACTTCTGAAATAGTTGAATAAAAGGTCAGAGCTAATAAATCGAGACACCCAGCTAGTATTGCTACAGTTTGATGTTGGAGTTCAGTTATTAAACAGCAAAATGTCAAAACGGTTTAATCCGAAAATTGATTTTTCAAATCCCTTCTTGTAATAAATGGTATAGATTTTTTTTCTTTTTTTTTTTTTTACAAACATTCCAATAAAAACAATACTGACAGTTTTATGGAAAGAAATATTTCAACACAAAACAATTGGGAGCTGCTTGTCTGCCATTGCCAACTACATTGTTATTTTATCAGTTGTTGTACGACTGAATTTCCCAGCAAAGGCAATGTAACAAAAACAGATGACAGAGGTGCCCTTTAGATATGCATTATGTCCCAGACAAGTGCATTTTGATAAGCAAGATTTTCTTTTGTGTGTTTAAAAAGTGTCCAAGATAGTTTTAGAGAAAGAAGCTCAAGCCTAAACAGTGTGCCAAAGCAAAATAAAGCTCAGACAGATATCAGACACTTGTTTTCTTTTGCTAGTGTAGTTTTTTCTGGAATCAGGCTGCATTGGTGATTATCGGATCTCCATTGGCTGCAACCTGGGGATGTTTTTGTTGTGTCACAGCTGATTAGACCACAAAAGTTCTCTCACAGGTGCTGTGTTTTTTTGCAAAGTACCAGAAATGATTATCATTATCTGTTGCTTTGCGGCGCCTCATGAGCAGCTGCCAGCTGACGGACAGAAAGCATCCTCATGGTCTTCCCATGTGGACTCTGCTGGGGTATGCAGTGGGTGTTGTTTTGTTGCCAACACAATGCCACCCCTCTCTGAGACGTGCTAGACATATTGACAGCGAGTGTGAGACGTGTTTGTCACGAGGGAGGACATGTTTTGGCATCTGGAGCCACTTGCCGAGACCCAGGTGATTGCCGCACACGGGCAGGTGAAGAAAACCGGCGTTCACGTGAAAGCTCTGAGCACAGAGCAGGCTTGAATGAGTCACTGGCGCAAGCCAGTCGCTCGAAAAGCGGAGCGGTGAAGTGCCATTGTGTAGGTGAGGTGTGTTGATTAGAAGCGGGGGGAAAAAGAGCTGGTTAAATTCCCACACGCTGTCCATTTTGTCCTTTTTTTTTCCCCCATCAGATGTTAAATTGAACAGTGGTTGCTTTTGCATATGAGGTAAACTGGTTTTTGGCGTTGTTTGATGAGAGCTGATTCCTCCTTCACACTGTCTCAGTTTTTGTCTTTTTTTTTCGTTTTTGAAGGTCCGCTTTCCTTTTTCAGAGGCTTGTTTTGGCTGTGATAGATTGGCCGGCCTCCACAGCCTCCCCTGGCTGCCAGCGTCTGGGCTGCTTGTGTCGGTGTGGGTCAGTAGCTGCAGGCTGTTTGTGGACCGGGCTGGGAGACGGAGAAGGGGGAGGTGTGGGGGTGGGCGGTAGAGGACAGCAGACAGTTGTTGTGGGCTCCGACTCTCTCGTCTGAGCTCCTGACTGTAAGCAAAGCTCCTCGCTGCTTCTCACATCTCCATTTGCTCATGATACCCTGCCCTTACAGATGACCCCACCCCCCTATGACGACTCCCACACATTTCTCTTTGTCTTGCATTTCCTTTTCCTTTATCCTCACTCAAATCATGCCCTTTCATTGCCTTCAGCTTACTTTCATGTTCTTGTTTTTTTCTTGTGCTTGTTTTGCTTTTGTTTTTATACCCACACTGTACCTTACCGTCCAATCTGACTCCTTCAGCACACACTCAGCACCACACACACACACACACACACACACAGCGCTGTGCTGTCGACTATTGTTCGATCCGTCCAGCCCGCAGGCGTCCCTGTGGAAATGCATCAGGCAGTCTCCCCGATGGCTCGGTCACTGCATGGCAACAGGCCCCCGGTACAAACACCAGCGTTTCCAGCCCAGCGTACGCAACAGCTGCAGCAGATTGCAGAGTTACCGTAGCGGAGAGGAAGCCAAATTGCCTTATAAGATGCGTGTGTCGTTGTAATATCCAGGAGAAAAAACATGTTTGAGGCATAATTTAAGATCTGTCTTGGTTGCGCGGCATCTGGCAGCATGTAGAAAATCAAGATCAATAACCAGTTGGGAAGAATTGAGCTGACTTTTTTTTTTTCTCTGAGGTATATTTTGATCAATTATTTTTCCTCCAATGGAAAAACACTGAAGGTTCCGTTGGGAATACAGTTGGCGGTGACTCACTATGCGTGACTATTACACTAACTCGAACGGTCAAGAAAGCAGGTGTCGTTGCTTCCACTTACATGTCACGGTAAAGTGGTAGTGGCAGACCTTAGAACGGGTTAAGTGTCAGTGGATTGTTGAACATGCCTGCTGTGCATCGACCTTCTGCCTCTGGAGAAAACCCACTGAAAAGCGAGTCCGAGAACGCAAGGACACGTGTACAAATTGGGGTCTGTGGATGCAAGATGCTAGCAAATGAATGCAGAATATTAGTGATTGGTATCAGGTGTCAGAGTGTGCTTAACTGAAGCTTATGAGACATAAGGTGCTTTTTTAAAAGTTATTGTAACTAAATTTCAGGGTCGTATGAAGCGCATTCTTTCTGCTCTGTGCTGGATATCTTTTAACCCAATTATCAGTCTGTGCATAACATCGCTGTTTATTTATAGATAATACATTTAGAGACTCAAAGGCATTAGTTCAATGAAATGAGACGCAAATTAGTCAAGCCATGTTTCACCAAGTGAACCGAACAATTCCTGTTCTACAACACTCATTAGATTTGAGCTGCAAGGTTGGAAACGACGTAGGCTTTTAGAGAAAAATGTACCAAACGGAACATGGTTTTACAATCTTTTTTCAGTACTGGATATAAACTGTATTTGTCTGATATGAGAAGTTGTAACACAAGATGGATGTGGGTTTTTGTTTCTGTTTTCCTGTGCCACCACGCGCTCTCCCTCCAGGAGTCCGATGCTCCCCCCAGACCAGAAGGCATTCACCCCCCGGTGTTCTCGGCCCTGCGCCAGTCCAGAGTGGTCTCATCCACCTCCGAGGAGGAGGAGGCGCTCACAGAGAAGTTCCTCAAGATCAACTGCAAGTACATCACCGATGGCAAGGTAGGCCACCTGCAAAGGGCCAAGTACCGGCAACAAAAATAGCAACAAGTGTCAGATGGTAGAGAGCAGTTGTGTTGTTATCCAATTAAGTTGGCCCTAACCCTGCCCGCTGCTGACCCTCGGCAGACATCATACCTGAGCAACACATGCTCATTTTTAAAGAGATTTATTTCTATTTTTATAGGTTAAATACTCTCCAACAAAACTGTTTGCCTAATGACCAATAAGTTACCATCAGAGAATCAGAAGCAAAAATCTAATCCAGCATCTTTTGATATTCATGTTACTGTTTGTATAAGTGTGCTCTCATATTAATCAGTCTATTAAAAAGCCTATAAGACACGGCATTACAAGAAAATCGATGTACTCTCAGAACTTTTTTTTCAGATTCTGTTGTGGTTGTTGCTGGTGTTGTAGATTGTCGGTCATCCAGGTGGTGGTCTTCATAGGACCTTGAATAACGGCAGCTGGACTTCTTGGTTTCCCCAAAGAGGTTTTAACCTCACAGCTGAAAGGCTTCTGTTGTGGTTGTCGGTCAAAATTTTATTCAGAGCAGGCTGGATGGCAGCTAGTCGGAGAGGTGGTGTGGATTGAAATACACACACCCTCTCTCAAAGTGCATGTTTTTGCTTGGGCAGCTGCCCCACTCTCACTCTCTCCCTCTCACACACACAATTCCAAGGTATTGAGCCAAAGCTGATTGACTCCCAGATACCAAATGAAAGCACTGAAGTGGACAGCACTGGCAGTCAATAACTTCTTGATTTAAGACATTTGTGGTTTAGAATAGATTTGGCCTTTTCCTTTTTTTTGTGTGACAGAGGTGCTTTTTGATGATGTTACATGAGATGACACTATAGAGATCTAAAAAGTGCAGAACGATTTATGCAATTTTCCCAATCTGTTCAGTTAGTAAAAAGCAGATATTATGGAAAAATAGTGCATTTCTAGTCCTAATTTAGTCCTAGTCCTTTTAGTTTGATATATTTTCTACTTCTTTGCACCCAGATGTAACAAATGACAGAGGAAAAGCCACTGTAATGTCTGGAAGTCTGTATTTATAGATGTCTAATTTAAAAAATGAAACATTTTAGTCTGCTAGAAGACTTAAGTTGTTCCTTTCTTAAACGTTACAAGGATTTCATGGTTCTACCTTTTCTTCATCAGGGTGCCGTCAGCGGGGTCTTGCTGGTAACTCCCAACAACATCATGTTTGACCCTCACCGCATGGATCCTTTGGTCCAGGCCCATGGATGCGAAGAGTTTGGCATCATGTGTCCTCTGGACGAGGTGCAGTCTGCCGCCGTCTGTAAGGAGATCACAGACCCCAAGATCCGAGAAACCGTCCCAGAGTAAGTTTTTGTTTAAAAAAAAAAAAAAAAAAAAAAATGCATATTTATTGAAAAGTGCAAGTTCCATTGTTATAGCAGACTGACCCAATACATGTCTAAACTGAATGAATATGGATCTATGAAATTTTTCCCTTAACCCCCAACATACCAAGATAAAAGACACAGCAATAACAGCAGGGTTAGTGTGCCTATACCCTCCTTCTACAGATTTAGGCTTTTCTGTTCGTATCTTTGATGATTTTAGTGACAAATATAGCATTATGAACTCTGTGTAGTCCCCACTTTCCCCCTCTCCTTTAGGGCAAAGCTGTACTTAACTGGTTGAGCGTTGCCAGTGGAGCCATCATGGTGCCAGCTAATAGCACATTTCTGTGCCAGGCCCAGCTGTTTTCTCAGCTGTGGCCCATTATCCGTCTCTCTTCTTTTTCTTTTTTTCACTGTCTCTCTCCCCTGACCTCCTTACATGTGTGTGTGCGTGCACGTGCCTCTGTCTGAACACACTGCTGAGCAACAAGTGTGCTGGATTGGATTCTTTGAAATGTTTGGGTCTTGTGTAGGTGTTGGTTTTGTGTGTTTTTAGAAACTAAACAGAATTAATACCCTAAAATGAAATCCTCTTTGGCATAAAGGATGTTAACAGGTGAATGACAGTCTGCCAAACAAAATGTTTTGGTTTTATTGCTGATTTTCAGTTGTTTCCTTTAAATTCAGAACCATAACGTGTTAAATAGGGCAAGCAGATTAACAGAAAACCCTTTTTAAATTATAATTTACCAGTGCTTGATATCGTTAAAACTGGTGACAATCTTTTGGGTGTCCATTTATAGTCTGTATTGTAAAGGTTTCTCCCCACATATGTACTTTAATGTGTGTCCACATCAACGGTTTTGCATCCGGCCGCCTGAACACAAAGCCAGCCTTTGTCAGCTCACAGTTTAGGATTCGCCGCACAAGTCTCTGCATCCTGTTTTTGCTCACGTCGTTTCCTTCAGGATGCCGGTTCACTTCAGCCTCTGTGCGGAGTTTCTCTGTCGACAACGAAGCTGCACTCCCAAGAGGCATTTTGTCCATCCGCTGAACATCGTCCTGATTGTGTCGCAAGCAATCCCACTTCTACCTCGTCCGGGGGGGAGTGAGAGCGTTCGGATGGAGCTGTCACTCCGTTATGTCATGACTGGATAAAGCAGACCATTTCCTAAACGAACATCAGCTTATCAGATCATGCACATCCCCATCACAAACCACATCTTCATTGTTCAGCGAAGAGTTGACCTAACTGTTCTGTAGCACAAATTTAGAAAAGCTGCGATAAATATGGCAGCTTTAAGCTCAGTACTGCTATTTGACTTGTTAAAGTGACAGCTGAACATACAGTGTGCCCCTCGAGAAGCCCGGCAGTTGTTTAGAATTGTTTTTATTTATTTATTTATTCATGTGATTTATTGTCTGATCCTCCATGCAGTGGTCACAGCAAATGTCAAGCTGTAGCCATCACATGTTTAAAACAGTTGATCTGTTGATACATTTCACTGACCAAATGGATAATGATTTCTTCCAAATGTTTTTTTTTTTTTCTTTAAAGGTCATTTAAGCTCATAAAAAATCTGCTGTTAGAATGCTTATTTTTTGTTTTTCCTTAATTTTGGTCTCACAAAACTTCAGGAACCGTGGATGGTAGTTTGTCTTTTAAAATACATTTACTGTCATTCTTTTGACCCTTCATCCCAGTAACACTCTAAATTTAGATTTTCTCTTTGTATATAAGCGGCAAAGCAATTGCCAACAGCCATAAGATCTCCACAACAGAATCATGCTTCTGATATTAAATAACTCTTAAGCTTTCTAGATTTTCCTTCTAACAAACTTATGTTCCCACTTGAATCTTCTCAGTGACTTGGAGCCTCTCCCGCCTGAGAGGCACCCCTCCCAGCAGAAGGAGCCAGAGCCCCGCCTGAGGGAGCCGGGGCCTAACGGCAACGGGAGCACAGTCCCACGAAGCACCGAAGGCTCCTTCTCGGAAGACGTCTTCACAGAGACGGAGCTGTCCCCCATCCGGGAGGAGGAGCAAGCGTCCAGCGAGGACCTCCGCCTGGACAAGTCCTCCGGTGTGTCCACGGAGTCCGCCCAAACCGTCAGCCGAGCGGAAGCCGCCGGCCCCCAGGACCTGGGCTCCGAGGAGCCAGCCGCGGCGAAAGCAGAGGACAATCCGCCAGACACTGCCACAATCAACGATAGCCAGTCCCCCATGGGATCCAAGCAGCACAGCGTAGAGAAGCCACCACCAAGCACACCCACCCCCACCAACACCAGCAACAGCACTAGCCAGGCACAGGGTCCCAGCAGCAGCGCCGCTCGTCCAGGGTCCCAAAGCTCAGCCGCCACCTCCGCTTCAGCCAGTCCACAGGGGGATGCCAATCAGGGGGCCGACGCCTCTCAAACTGACACTATGCAACAAGGCAAGGAGGACGAGAACACGGAGCAGACGCAAAAGGACGGCACCACGAACTCTGCAGAGGGTAAACACTGAGTTGCATTCAGAGAACGAGTCCCTTTTACCTGGGGAAGCGGGGAAAGAAGGTTAATCTGGCCTTGTGATGTCTTAGCTCCCACACAGCATCGAGTTTTCCTCTGGGCACAGTCAAAGGGAATATTTCTGCCCTTAATTGCTCCAAAATCCCATCTCTGGCGCGCTCTCTGATAACCTTTCTGTTTCTGCTCTGCTTCGGCGCTGGTAATTGGAAAATAAAAGACGAAGGAGAAACGGTGCATCTGCTGTGGCTATCAGCTTTGCGAAGCTTGCTTGGCTTTGTGGGCTTTATGCAGCACTTTGATCTCCGGCATTGGTGGTCGCCTCCTGTGTGTGATAAGCTAAAGTCTATCAAACACCTCAATGCCACAGACACACCTGGCTTCCCCAGTGGGATACACAAAGAAGGATACAAAAAAAAAGAAAAAAGAGCCTGCATCAAAAAAGCCCCATCTGACACAGCATGCAAAGCATTTTACTTACATTTTAGATCTGTCTATGGTTTTCCTTTCATTTGTAACAAAATATAGAAGTCCAAAAATATATTTGTTCATAGTTCATATCAAGTACTAAAAAGAAAATCCTCTGATAGGGTCTGCATAGTATCACACTTTTTGTGCAAAATGGGGGAATTTATCTTATCAAAACATAAATCCAACTAAATGTCTATATTCTGTTTTTTTCTAATAAAAAAAACACAACTATATATTTTTAGCACAAGTTGCATGGATACAGAGTGCATATATCTAAACATGGAATCAGGCCCTACATAGCTGTTATCAGTTAAGACAAATTTCTGTAGGAGCCAGTGTCAGGTTCAGCCATAGCGGTGCTAAATGGTGAATACGGTGTTTGGACGTTTGACCTATGATGCAAAATCATTGAAAATAAGTTAATCGGCCGTACTAGAGCATTTCCAAGATCTCGGATGCAAGAATCTGGTTATCTTAGTTTAGCATGTAGATAACAGATGAAATCAGGAACTGTCCTTCTTTTGTAAGTCTGTAAAAATTATCCAAAAGTTTAGGTAAAATACTAAATCCTGCATACTTTGGCTTGAGCATAACCTGGAAGCTAACTGGTTTCTGGTGTGATTATATTCCCCTAACAAGACAAACAAAGTCAGATTTCCAGTTGTACCCGAGTTTTTAGTGTTTTTTCTGAACAGCTGATCTTTTCATTGACCCAGGTACAGGCGCAGCAGAAAGGCCGAAGCGCCGCTCTCACAAGTTCCTGTGTCTGCGAGTGGGGAAGCCCATGAAGAAGACGTTTATTTCAAACGCCAGTGCCTCCATGCAGCAGTATGCCCAGCTAGGCAAGAAGCATGAATACTGGTTCGCTGTGCCACAGGAGAGGTCAGTAGCCCTGACAGCCCATTTCAGCCCAGGATACAATGTACGTGAATCTAAATGCAATCAAGGCTTAAGTGTTAGGTGATCCTCTGATATTAATCCTACAATATGTGCCTTTTCTGATCATATAAAAGGCACAAATTAATATATACAGTTGTGGTCAAAAGTGTACATACACTTGTAAAAAATCATAATGTTATGGCTGTCTTGAGTCTTCAATAAGTTCTACAACTCTTATTTTTCTGTGATAGAGTGATCGGAACACATACATGTTTGTCACAAAAAACAGTCATAAAGTTTGGTTCTTTCATAAATTTATTATGGGTCTGCTGAAAATGTCACCAAATCTGCTGGGTCAAAAATATACATACAGCAACATTAGTATTTGGTTACATGTCCCTTGGCCATTTTCACGGCAACTAGGCGCTTTTGGTAGCCATCCACAAGGTCCTGGCAAGCTTCAGGTCGAATGTTTGACCACTCTTGACAGAATTGGTGCAGTTCAGCTAAATGTGATGGTTTTCTTGCATGAACCTGTTTCTTTAGCACTGTCCACATGTTCTCAATGGGGTTTAAGTCAGGACTTTGGGAAGGCCATTCTAAAACCTTAATTCTAGCCTGGTTTAGCCATTCCTTTACCACTTTTGATGTGTGTTTTGGGTCATTGTCTTGTTGGAACACCCAACTGCGCCCAAGACCCAACCTTCGGGCTGATGGTTTTAAGTTTTCCTGCAGAATTTGGAGGTAATCCTCCTTCTTCATTATCCCATTTACTTTCTGCAAAGAACCAGTTCCACTGGCAGCAAAACATCCCCAGAGCATAATACTACCACCACCATGCTTGACAGTAGGCATGGTGTTCCTGGGATTAAAGGCCTCACCTTTTCTCCTCCAAACATATTGCTGGGTGTTGTGGCCAAACAGCTCAATTTTTGTTTCGTCTGACCAGAGAACTTTCCTCCAGAAGGTTTTATCTTTGTCCATGTGATCAGCAGCAAACTTCAGCCGAGTCTTAAGGTGCCTTTTCTGGAGCAAGGGCTTCTTTCTTGCACGGCAGCCTCTCAGTCCAAACACGCTTGACTGTGGAGACTGACACCTGTGTTCCATCAGCTTCCAAATCCTTGCAGACCTGCTTCTTGGTGATTCTTGGTTGACTCTTGACCATCCTGACCAATCTCCTCTCGGCAGCATGTGATAGCTTGCGTTTTCTTCCTGATCGTGGCAGTGACACAACTGTTCCATGCACTTTATACTTGCGTATAATTGTCTGCACAGTTGCTCTTGGGACCTGTAGCTGCTTTGAAATGGCTCCAAGTGACTTCCCTGACTTGTTCAAGTCAATAATTCGCTTTTTCAGATCCACACTGAGTTCCTTTGACTTTCCCATTGTAGCTTTTGTAGCTGAGTCTAATCACTGGGTCAAATGAGCCCTATTTAAATGGGCTCATGAGAAGTCAACAGCTGTTGTCAATCAGAATCACTTAGAAGAAGTGAAGAGGCCATGACATGAAGCTAATTTGATTGACACGACTCGCTACATCACCAAAATTGACATATTTTGTTGCTGTATGTATATTTTTGACCCAGCAGATTTGGTGACATTTTCAGCAAACCCATAATAAATTTATGAAAGAACCAAACTTTATGACTGTTTTTTGTGACAAACATGTATGTGTTCCGATCACTCTATCACAGAAAAATAAGAGTTGTAGAACTTATTGAAGACTCAAGACAGCCATAACATTATGATTTTTTACAAGTGTATGTACACTTTTGACCACAACTGTATATCACATGAAAACAGTGTAATTTTTGCCCATAATGAAAAGAGACCCCTCCATTTTAGTCCCTTTCATTTTCGAGACCTTTCAGAGTTGAACTTCTGTGCCAGGTCCGGCTTCCTATGCAGAGTCCTTCCACTTCCCAGCAAAGCCGCTGCTAGACAGCAAGACAATTTATTATTCGTGTGCTTTGCAAGGACACAAACTCTGTTTATTTCTGCACAGCGATGCGCACAAACAACTGGATCAGTTGAATATCTAATGTAACTATCCGCACAACGTAGTTTACACACAAATTTGTTTTTGGACTGTTTCCCTCTCGCACTGAAACTCTGCGTTTCACATAAACTGAAAGCCTCGGTTTGTTTTTGCTCTTCCAATCTGGGTGAGTCAGCCTGTTTGTGCAGTTGCCAAGTCAGCACTAATAATTACATTTAGAGCTTTTGTCGATTGAGGGAGACGTGTTACAAACGAATGTGTGCTTCCATGAAGGTCCTCATAATATCTTGATGTGTTGAATTAATTCAAATTACACTAATGGCTTAATTTGATAACTCTTTTCCTTTTAAAAAGCCTTTCACTCTAGACAAATTAGAGCTAATTTAAAACAACATGCAATGGTTTTCTTGCACAGATTAGGATTTGGATTACTTTGGGTTCCTTTGTCTAACTGAGAAAACGGCTGCACAGCGCCACTCCTCTTGTACGACAGACAGCAACTGGCCATTGGGCAAATGTGGAGAGTCGGTGGAACATTTGTATTTTCTGTCAGTGCATCAGCTCCTTCTGTTTTTTGTTTGTTTTTATATACTTTTTTTTACCAGGCGGAATAGAACCGTGTCCTCTTCTTTTTTATGTTAATTTCTCCTTAAAAGCATCACTTTACACATTAACATGGCCTTGTGGAGTAATCGAACTGAAAACCAGTTCATCAATTTAACTGAATACAGAGCATCTCTATGCAAATCCACAAAAATGAACAAAGACGGCATGTTTATTTTTTCATCACAGATCCTTCCACTTCTCCATATCATACATGCTGTTTCTTGCACAGGTGTCGTCTTCTTTGTGATGTGTTGTCTGCTATTTTGTTTGCTCAAACATGAGGGGGACCCACCAGAGATTGAACAAAAACCTGTAAATAAGCCTTTCTTTTGTAGCTTTCTTGTTATGCCGTTATGCAGTTGACCCACTTTGGGGGGGCATCAATCTAATGGCCTCACATGCCACTGCAGAATAATTTGTATACAGAAGAGTTCACGTGCCCATCTCCGGTGGATGCAAAGTAGGTTCAGATCCTCACACCTCCATCACTGTGCCTGACAGCTGGTTGGAGGTGTCGGTTACTGATATACTCACATCATGTGTGTCTTTGTGTTTTGCATCATGGGTAAACAAGGCACGTTTGGCCTAATTTGTCCACGGACAAATGGAGAGGTCATATTTACCGTTGAATGGAGCGTATGCAGAGCACCTCTGCTCACTGGATGCACCAAGGAGACACATGAACATATCTGCTTTTATAGGAAATGCTCACATTTGATGATGGTCAGTTTGAAGATGAAGTTTATGTGATTTGAAGCCCCTGCCTTCTACTGACCTTTTTGAGTCAATGTGCTTAGTATTTCACAAAGTTTCTGCACTTTGGCTTGGTTTTGAAGTAAGTAATTACTCCTTAACTTCCCTAAATTTCTGACTTCCAAATGAATATTTTCCCAATTTCTCAATGCTGCAAACCTTTAGGTTGATACAAAATATGTTCTCTGTCTCGCATTATATTCGAGTAGAGCAAACAGGCACGTCCTTTTTCAGTTGTACTGATAAACATGACTCATCTGGATTTATAATTTTTTTAAAATACCTAACTTTGATTCACTGTGAACTGTGGAGGTCTTTCGGATTTTTTATTTTCTTTTGTTGCTTAGCTACAACATATCCCACCTGATGACTGATTTGTTTTGATGCATGTTGCTTTTTGATGTAATAAACCAAGAATATAACAGCGTTGAAGCTAGTTTTATAAAGCTGTTTCTGCTCATCATCTGTGATATGCTCTGATGCTGCGTGCAGACTAATGGACGTGGGAGGAATGACTCTAAATCTTTCAGACTTTCAACGCAATCTTCGCAGACTTGTTTATTCAGATGATGCTAGTCCCTTCGTAGCTTGACCTAGATGGGAAGTGACCCGCAAGAGGTGTGTTTAAGTGTCCTGGCTTTAGTGTGGGAAGAAAAAGACACTGCAGAAGAAAAAAAAAGTAATGCACTGTTATGCCTCTGAATGGCCCAAACAGCCAGACCGCTTTTCCATTAGTGCCTACTCAGCCCAGCAGAGGTCTGCACCCCAACCGGGTGCAGTTTTAGGTGGTTTTCCATCACAAGTTACAGCCGAACAAAAACGCCGGCCGACCCATGCATGAAGTTATTCATAAGCGACACAAGCACGACACAATAATCAAAGACATTGTGGCAAATATAAAACCGAAAAAAAGCTTGGTGTTGGTTAATGTATTTGGCATTTACAAACGTTTAGGGTCACAGAAATAGTGAAATGCAAAAATAGAGCCGTACCGCACTGAGTAGGCATTCAGAATGAAACAGTAGTGAGACAGACTCCTAAAGTAAAGTTCAAGGCCGGCATAATTTTCTATTATCTTATCTAAATTGTAGCAGAAAACACTTAGCTCGTAATACAGAAAATGATCCAGTTTGATAGTCTTACAGTAAAGTTGGTATCTTTGCTTAGTAATTGTTGATCTATTCATGAATACCATAATAGCAGGGAAATTAGACGAATGCTTGTCGGATCATTGTCATCTTTTTCCGGCCTTTTCTTCACAGATCAGACCACCTATATGTATTCTTCATGCAGTGGAGCCCCGACATGTACGGTGAGGGGGTCAGGGGGATGGGACAAGAGCCTGGGTTCATGGTTGTCAAGAAGAACGAGGTATCGGACACTTCTGATGACGAGCCCATCACAGACCTCAATGTAAAGGAGTGGGAGGTAAGGTCGGCCTAGATTGGTTTTGCCGTGTCTTTTAAAAGTGCACCTTTTGTGTTTTTTCCATGCCTACCAGACATGGATGAAGTGCCGTTTTCTCCATTTTTATTTAATCCATAAACTGTGAATGTACAAGCTTATGTTCCCCAATTGTTAATTTATTGTTATGCTACATTAAATCTTAAGGTATTAAGTTGCTTTTATTATTTAGTGCATAGTGTTGGATGTATTGTGCAGGTATTGTTTGTATACTATTCAAATTGTGTAGCTGTCAAATATCAGTTTCGTGACCTTCTTTCACATTTTGCACCTTTGTGTACCACTGCATATTTTTTAGTGTAGTGGTGAGTCTTTGTGTCAACTTTGATCTCTATGCAAGTTATGATGTTTCACACTTGCTTTGCTTGGAAATGTGCTTCTCCAAACTTCCAACCAAAGTGTTTTGCATGTTTGTGTAATTGTTTATTCTTCTCGGTCACTGTATTATAGTTTCCATTGTTCGTCGTATGTCACTGCTGTTGGTCAGCATTTGTGATCTTCATTCGCTGAAAGACAAATGGCCAACATCACTGTGAGTTTCTCGTGCTTGTTTGGCTATGATAAAACCCCCCAAGGGAACGTGACACTGATGTGGGTTCTTCCTCGTTTGTCACAATACGCTATCAGGTGCCTTTGTTTATAGAGTCATAAGATGTGGAAGTAAGATTAGGAAGCAAAGGAGTTTAGAGTTTCTGTACTTTTTCCGTAGATTGTCACAGTTTGCACTGAGTGGGTTACTGTTCAAAAGCTGCAGTCAATGAAAATAATCTATTCGTTGTAAGAAGAAAATGGATACGACAGAGGCTATGCCCAGCGATAAAACTTTCATGTAAGTGAGCCGTGTAGGAAACAAACTTGGACCTCGGGCAAGTGTGTTATCCACCACATGTGAATTAGCTAATGTTGTAGGTATAAAGAGCATTATGTTTTATCTGTGGAACTTTGAAGAAAAAGCATATTAATAAGAGGTTTTTATTTCAAAACGTGCTATTTAAACTTGATGTCTATTTGGACTTTGGACTTTTTTATTTATTCATTTGTTACACAGGGAAAATTGATTGTGGAGATACTGTTTACATATAGAATGCCTTCAGGAGAAGAGTGTTGCTGTTTCTTTAAATTTGGTAATAAGGTGGGCTTATCGATTTATTCTTAACCAATAGCGCGCCACTTTCCTCCCATTCCGTATTCCTATTGGAGTTCAGCGGTGTCAAACAGCGCGGATATCCCTTTGGAAAAAATATTTCTATTTTAGTCAAGCAGTCTCGCAGGCTTAATGTTGAACTCGATGCTTGTCTCGGTGCGAAACGGGGAGAACTTAAGGGGACCCTTTAATGTGACTTTTCAGCTTTACCCTCGGCCAGAAAGCAGGACATGTTTTCTAAGAGGGGGAAGGACCAGGAGAAACGGCAAACCCCCAAGTATACTTGTGTATGTTGCTTTTTTTCTAATATACTCTACCTTTAGCGACGTACATTTCTATATGTCCAGTTGTTGTTAGCCAGCAAAGCTAACTTGCTAGTGAAGCTAAGTAGCCTGCTAGCTCGGTACCCGGTTCGTTTTCGTGCAGTTAATGGTCGTAAATAAAGTGACGACACTGTGACCATTAATTAGCCGTCAGGCTCACAACCCTTTTGGTCCTCTTTGCACTGTGTTATCAGATGTGTGTCTGTCCGTACAAAGTTGTTATAGATGGGTTGAACCTGCCATCCAGGGTTTCAGTCACCCACTTTCTTGACTTTTTATTTCTCCCCCACATCTCTGAGGTATTAGATATCCCTCGGTGTCCTTTAGGTTGCATCATCAAGCTCCGTTCAATAATAATACAAGATTTAACTATGTGATAACCTCCCAAAAATATATCTTTTAATGACATTCATCAATCGGGGTCAGGACTGATTTAAGTGTATTTTCTTCAGCATCTTCCGAGAGCTGAAACACAAACCTGCTAAACTCTTTCCAGAGTCAAGTGCAGCAGCCCTTTTTGTTTAAAGGTGAGAAGAAGCACAGATCTAATTTTGATGAGGGCTGTTGTCCTCTCTGCTGCATTATTGAGACCTGCAAAGAGTTGGCTTGTTACTGGAAAAGTTATACCATTGGCAACAAGACGAGTAGAGGATTATCTCGGCTGAAACAGAGGTAAAAGTGAGGAACAGATTGTGATACGTGTACCCTGAAACTGTTCAACGCAGCTGCTGCGTGACGTTTTAATGGTTATTGTGAATATTTCTGTATGAGTGGGCTTTTTAGTGATCACATGTTTTTTGTTTTAAGACGGTGGATTTTGAAATAGCGTGAACTCAGTGGCTGAAAGCAGACTGGCCCTCTCCGTGGAGTGTGCAAACAGCGTGGGGTGGAACTTTGCTGGAATGTGGCCATGCTTAGTGGCTCATTGTGCTGCACAGTTTGTGAATTGTTGCTGCTGACAAATGGCTATGGCGAGTTGCGTCGCATCAGTTGGGCCTTAATTTGTTTTCTGCTTCCATTTGGTCAATGAAGAGTCATCCCACGCTCTGTTTTTGCTCTCTCGTCCGCGCTGAAGCTTTGTCATCCGAGTCTGCATCTCTGTATAACGTTAGCAACTTGTAGCGGTGGTGTAAAAACGCAGTACACAAACATGCAAAACGACCAATTGCACTGAAATTCCCTGTTTCTTCTTCTTCTTTTATCTAACTGAACTCTTTAACGGTGGCTTTATGGCCATTTTCCGCAAACTCACACCTCTAACTTCCCCCTTAATGTGAAGGGGAGAGCCGGAATCCTAGCGGCCAGCTTTTTTTTTTTATGTTCCACTTGTTCCTGTGTTTGTACTACCAGGTAGTGTCTCTGACGGAGTACCACCGTCGGGTTGATGCACTAAACAGCGAAGATCTGCGCTCGCTCTGCAAACGACTCCAGGTGCCCTGACCAGCCCCGTTCCCCCCCCCCCCCGCCCCCCCTCGCCCCCCCCCCCCCCCCCCCCCCCCTCCCGCCAGCACGGCCTCCTTTATGCTCCATGCAGGCTTTTGTCACTGCCGATGTTACGCACTAACCCCAGCCGTGGATCTCCCTCCAAAGCTGTAAATGAACGTTAGAGGTTGAGTAGCTGCAGAAACTTACTCAAACCAGTAAGACCAGACGGACTGGGAATGGCATTAAAGGGGAAAAGTTTTATCTCCTCACTACAGAAATTTGTCTTATCTGGAGGAATGATGTTCACATGACAGCCGCTTTATCTCAGCGTGTCAGGCTTTCCCCCTTAGACTTGTTTTACATTTGTAATATTTCAGTCTTCTAGACCAGTCTACTTATAAGATAGCAAGTGCTGTCTGTTTGTGATGACTGTTGGCAAATCTCTAGAATAAACAGAGGGCAGAGAGGTTCATGTTTTGGTGAGATTCTTTCCCAGTATACTTGGAGGAAAACTGCCCTTGATGCTGGGATGAGCTGAGCGTTTGGAATATGGAATGTAGGGAGGGAATGTTTGGTGTGTTGGTGAGCAGCGTGGCTGTAAGACTCCTCTTACAGAGTGAGTGATGCTCTCTGAGGACAATGCAGGTAGGTGCTGTTTGAATGGGGACGGAAACATGAGAGCCGGCCGGCTCGCGGCAGGGAAGTGCTCCACAATCGGCTCCTGTTATCACGAAAGATAGACAAGCCAAACAGTCCGTCGGCCAAAGAAAACGCCAGTCTGTGGAGCGCAAATTATTCATCGGGTTAATTTCCTATTCACTTTGCATTCTCATCTCCCAGACAGCATCTCTGCCCACTGTCCCACCCCTGATCATCTGCCTCTGGAGACAGGCTGTTTCTCTCGAGTTGTTGTATTGTCAGTGTGTTGCGATGAAACATTTCTTTGCTGAACCACTTACAAATTAAAAACCATTTTAAGAGTTTCATTGAGGAGTTGGGGCAGTTTTCCCACCCTGTGTCTTCTGTCAAGCTCCAGACCAGTTCCCCCAGTACCCTGAAACCTTTAGAGCTTTGTTTGTTGTTCGGTTTTAAAGCGGTAGTTGATAGTGGGTGCAGGTATAGTTTGCTTGTTGACTGATTGGACTAGATTCCGTGCCTTGCCAGATAAAAACTAAAAGGCAGATAGATGACAGTAGGTAAACCCATTCAGTTTCACTCCCTGCTGGACGTCCAAGCTCTCATGTTATCACTAACACTTTTTTTTTCACGCTGTAGATTACCACCAAGGAGGAGGTGAACTCCAAGCATGGCACATCCATCAAAGCTGAGCTGGAGCCTGAAACATTCAAACCCAACCTGAGGGAACCCAGTGACCTCCTGGAGGCCGACCAGATAGAGAAGGTGAAGTTCAGCCCGACGCTCTTCCAGACACCAAAATGTGAACGACTGTATTTGTCAGTTGTTTACATGGCGTTTAAGAAAAAAAGAAAATCCACTGTAGAGGATGTCGACACACTCGGTCCAGCTCGTGTGTTGAAGGCTCACAAGAACAAAATGTAAAACCAGAGGATTTGCGGGTCATTTTACTTTCAAACGTCATGCATGTAAATCGCACTCCTGTTTCCCCCGCTGTGCTCGGGGGATAGGCGTCGTCTCTGCCGCGTTAGCAAGCGCACATCCACCCACCACTCGCTCGTTAGACGGCCTCATGAATGTATTCAGCATCATTTGCAGAGTCCTGCTTATTTATGGTGGGTCACAGAACACTTTCTTACATCAGACGTTGAGAAAAGGCGCCCGGTTTGTTGCTCGAAGCATAAAGCATGTTTTGTGTAGAACTTAGATTAAAAAAACACAGTCGGACGCATATAGAAGGCGGTGCTCATGAATATTGTTTTATAGGAAGTGTGGACGGTGTCTCACACGTTAACGCACACTGCCACACTCCTACAAATGGAGTCCCAGTTGGTTTTTCAAGGCCACCATCACTCTTGTGGACCACCATCAGGGCAGAGGTCAAAAGGCGGGGCCTGGTCTCCTCTCGGCCCCCCATTTCCCTCCTGTCAGTGACTCAACTGCTGCTGTCCACGCTCCCTTTAAACGCCCGGTCACCGGGCTGAAAGGTCACTGCAGATGTAATTGAGCATCGGTGGCCGCGGCCTTTCCCGTGTCGAATCGTTTTCTTCTCATCCTCATCCATTTTTCCCGACAGCTGGCCAGGAATCTCCCACCACGGACCATCGGCTACCCCTGGACGCTGGCCTTTGGCACGGCCAAGCACGGCATGAGCATCAAGACCCTGTACAGAGCCATGCAGGGCCAGGACACCCCGGTCCTGCTGGTCATTAAGGACAGCGATGGCCAGGTGAGCTGCAGGTTTAGCTGCTTCTTTTCTTTTTTTCTTTTCTGTTTTCCGGTCCTGATCAATCCCCCTCACTGGTCACTCCTGTAGGTGTTTGGCGCTCTGGCATCTGAACCCTTTAAGGTCAGCGATGGCTTTTATGGCACTGGAGAGACCTTCCTGTTCACCTTCAATCCAGAGTTTCAGGTAAGAGACCTGGGTTTTGTCGGTGTAAACGTAAAAGAGTAAAACCCAGATTTGTACGACACCTGACTGATGCTGTTAAGATACATCTTCAATATCCCCAAAACGTATGACTCTGAGCATAAGTTTGAAGATGTTAAAGGATAGAAAAAAGATTGAAATGTGTCCCTGACTGTCCTCTAAATGCTCCTTTGTGTCCTGAACAGGTTTACAAATGGACAGGCGACAACATGTTTTTCATCAAAGGAGACATGGACTCCTTAGCTTTCGGAGGAGGAAGGTGAGGCAAAAATCAACATGAAATTCTGAGCTTAGTTTAGTTTTATTATGTTTATTCTGCCTACAAGCTTGAGCCACATTCCTGTTTGGAAAGAGAGGGAGATCATTTTAAGTCTTCTCACCTTTTATTAGCTTTTAAGCAGCTTAATGGGAAAGTTATCCTGACTGTGCTCTGTTTTCAGCGGCGAGTTCGGCCTGTGGCTGGACGGAGACCTTTACCACGGCAGGAGCCACTCCTGTAAAACATTTGGGAATCCCATGCTCTCCAAAAAGGAGGATTTCTTTGTGCAGGACATAGAGATCTGGGCTTTTGAATAACCAAACAATGCACCACAGGGGGGGGGGGGGAAAAAAAAAAGAAAAGTCCCGCAAAGGGCAAACGGAGGAGTCCTGTCCTCCTTTAGAACAGCGGCAGCGTTCCAACCCACCTGCACCCCAGCAGGCCCCCCGGGGCCCCCCGGAGCCCCCGGTCCGGAGGCCAGCGTGCATCACTACTGCAGTACTACGGAGCTTTGTTTTCTTTGGTTTTTCTTTGTGAACACTGACCTTTTGCGTGTATAGCGTCTTTACAGAGTAGGGGGGGGGGGAGCTGGACGAAAGCTGAACACATTCCATTACTCTAGAGTGTCCAAATACAGGTGGTGGTTTGTGATTTCCGCACAGAGCACATCAGCAATGGGATGACGCTTAACTCAGAGAGAATATTTGCTGTGTGTGTTTTAACGGGGGGGGGCGGGTCGGGGGGGTCTTTTTCCAGTACAGTTTTGGGTCGTCCCCCGAGGCTTAACTTATTGAGTATCGTGTATCGTAGTCCTCCTGTTGTTCACCGTCATGGCTAACCCTCCTGAAGCACATAGCTAGAACCAGAGCAGCCATTGTTGTAACGTTCCGTTCGGTGGGTGTAAGTGTGAGTCCTGCTAACACCCCCCACCCCCCCCTCACCGGGCGCCGGCTGTACTGTTTGTAGACCGTAACGTGTTGCAATAGATTTGTGGAATATGCAAAAATAACTGTCCTGTGACCTCCAAATAACCCGCGGGTCGAGGGTGTTTTTGTTTTTTTTCTTTCTTTCTTTTTTCTTTTTTTTTGTTCCTGCCGTCGCTCTTTCACGGGAGAAACTTCTGAAGCTTCTACGTCTCAACACACAGTCACTTCTGTGGGTATCGTTTGAAAAGCCTGTGAAAAGGTTAACTGTTTTACATGCTTATTTGACAATTATATCTATGTATATATGATTATATATGGTCTTATATAATCATATATATTTTGCTGTTGAGTGTGACAGTGATATATTTGTGCTGATATTTCAGCTGTTACTAAATAATGTATATTATCCTGTAAATTAATGTTAAAATAGTAGATTTGTTCCTAAATATATATATATATATGTATATGTATAAATATATATATATATATATGTGTGTGTGTGTATATGCATATATATATATATATATATATAAATATATTCATTTTTTTGGATTGGTGGGTTGCTTCTAGCACTTTAATCTGGTGTAAAAGCATTAAGACCAGGTTCTTCAGTTCTCTTAGCAGTAGCTGTACAGTACTTTTCTTTTTTCCTTTTTATTTTTTTTTTTTTTTTTTTAAAAAGTTTAAAGGTTTTTTTTTTTTTTTTTTTTTTTTTTTTTTTTTTTTTTTAAAAGATCATAAGGATGTTAACTGTTAGTAGAAAGCTCGCTTCTACCAATATTAACAGGGATATAACCTAATGCTCTGTCTAAAAGGAGGATTACTGTGTTGTGGATGTGGGGAAAGGTGGCAGCAGGTCTGGGATGAGCCTGAGCTGGCACAGGAGTGGACGTGGTCCCGTCCACTCGGAGACGCGGGTCATAGCGGGTGAAGGGAAGTGTGTACAGTCCGTCACTCCTCCCCCGTGGTGCCCTTTTTACCCCCTTCCATTCTGGTCTTCCACGCCAGTATTTGTGTCCTTGTGGAGAGTCACAAAGAGTAAATATGGATAATTCTTCCGAATATTTCACCAGAACAATGTATCAGTGATGTATAAATGACAATAAAGCTAAATTAATTGTTGTAATCCGGGAACTTGTGGTGCTTCTTTTTGTGTTTAAAACATCAGTCCGTGCAACTTCTGGTTTGGCCCATTCTGTTGGTTTTTGGTGGTCTAAGAGAGAAGATATCTCTATAGTTTGTGGTCATGTGCTTTTTCTTTGTTGATATTAAGGCTAAATAATCCTAAAGACTAAGGTGTCATTCACTACAGATCCTGTCAAAGCTCTCAGAATGCTGCACAGCTACAGACGTAATTGGCTGTTAATAGTGGGTTCCTGTGGCTGAAATCACAAGAAAACCCTCTGGCTGTGGTCATGTCTTCTATTTTTCCTTTTTTTTGTTTTTTTTAACTGCCCATTCTTTTTAAGTCGTTGTTAATGGGAAACCTGCTGTGATAACTGGCCGACTTTAATGGCTGTTATTTCACAAAATGAGAAAAATGCTCCTAGTTCAGGCTTTCCCACATCAAGCAGAAGCGGCTGCTGCGAGATTATTTCTGAAAAAGAATCTGCTGAAAATCATTGTGTTCTGTTGTAATGTGTCCTGAATTTAAATTAAGAGGCACAGCAGGGTGCCACAGTCCAGCCAACAGTGGAGTTAAATCCTCCAGCTGTCTGTGAGCGCCACCCCATGGCCATTTATGTGTCATCGTACTGGATTGCAATCTAATACTTTGGGAAACATTTCACCAACCCCTCCATGTTAGTGACGTCTCCACAGTAGCTGGGCCAAACCAAAACACACTCGTTCAACCTAATGAATTTATTGAACAGATGAATCCTGAGCACTTGTTACAGAAAACCTCTCATTATGTCGGCAGGCCGAAGTGAGACGGTAAACTCCAGTGAAACCTGCATCCACTATATCAAAGCTGGAAATCTGGGCTACAGCGAATCGGAATCTTAACCAACCACATGTCTATCAACCAAAACAACCCACAAGGAAAAAATATATAGATTTTCTTCGAATTTAAACATTAACTTGATAGTAAACCACCTTAGATTTAGTTTCGATTGAACAGTGGAACAGCAGTACCAGGGCCCTTGAGGTAGAACACTTGTATAGAAAACAAAAAAACAAAAATAGTCAATTACTTATTTAAGGCAAATTCTGGCATAAGTTAGTGTGGAAGTCCATGTCAGCGCACAGCCCAGGCTTCATATTTTGACTTGAAACATCGTCCCTACTATAAGAAAATAAAAAAGTCCCATCAGTTTTAGTCCTCTTGCCAGGAACAAGTCATTTCTCAGCACAAGAGGCTGAGAACACCCTGGCAGATGTTTGAAATAAAAAAAGGTAAGTGCTTCTAAAAAAAAAAAAGGAAAGTTTTCGTTTATTCCTAGTACCGAACACCCGCGCAACAGGAAAAAATGATGACAGACAGACCAGACTACAAAGGCATTATGCTTGACAGTGCAACATCTTTTGAGAAATGTACCTAAAACGACTGTTTCCAGGGCTAGCGGTTTAAATGATGCAGTGTGGGACAGTCTGAACGCCGCCAGGGTTCCTGGGACTGCAGCTGTGACTAATAAACCAGGTACTTGAGTTCAGAATAGATGAGTGGAAACATGACTGTGCAGGCCCGGTACAGGATGAGTCCGCTCTTGAACAGCGCTCTGGGTTTGGTGCTCCAGGATTCCGACTTAAAGTTGCTGTAGATTGCATACAGCGCCACGGCAAAGAAGTGTCCAATGAGGGTCATGGGCTTCGGTGTTAGCCTGGGGATGGAACATTGGAATCAAATTTGAAAAACTGTTGGTAATTCTTCAAAGAATTTGAGATGGAAATTTTTTTTTTAAAGAAATTTTTAAAGTGGAAACTGAGTAATATAACGAGCCCTAACTGCCAAAACATTTTTCTTGTAGTCATGCAAACATCATATGAGGTAGTAAAACACCACCAAAAAAAAAAAACTGAAAAGATGTGACTTCTTACTTTTACGTGCAAGCTCATCCGTTAGCAAGACATTTCAACAGAACTTACACTGACAGGAGTCCGATGGGCCCGGTGATGCACTTTCCCCCGAGCTTGAAGTACTGAAAGCAGGCCTTTCTGAGCTCATGGAGCGAGTCTAGACACACACAATGTGGAACATGATGAGAACAGAGTCACAAATGGGGATGACTGAACCACGCAGGCAGCATTTCTGCCTGTCCAGTGGAACTGACCGTCGGTGGCTGCAAACAGCTCGTACAGGGCCTGGGCCAACACATTCACCACGAAGGAATGTGATGACTTGCGTTCCCAGTGGAATTTTTTCTTAGCCTGTTGTGAGGAAGGGGGGGAGGAAACAAACAAAACACAGGGTGTAAGGTTTAGTAATAAAACATGATGCAGTCGACTCCAAATACAACATCTGCTTGTGTCCGCACACGGTTTGGACACCAGAACAGTGGAGCGGCCTCAGCTTGTTAAGCGTCCAGCATCACCTGCAGCAGGGCCGCGTCGTCGCACAGGTCAGGAACGCCGCCCAGCAGACTCCTCCAGATGCGCACGTCGTTCAGGGCCACGCTCATCCCGCCTCCGGTCAGAGGGTGCCTCATGTTGTAGGCGTCGCCCAGGAGCAGCACGCCTGCAGTCACACACACACACACACACGCCCGGGCTCAGATTTGGCTCTCTCAGTCCAAGCGTCTCGTTGAGGACACCTTAACTAAAACCATGACATCTGGTGTGTTTTTGTTCTTCGAGTTAAATGTTTGCCAGGTAGCATTTTGAAGCTCTAAATAAAATCCCTTTCAGTATTGCAAAAAATAATAATAATAATACGCATCAGGGGCTTTGGGTTCACAGACCTTCAGCAGGATTTTATGCAATTTCAACAAACTTGATCCCTCAGTTCTTCATTTTAATTAGCTAAACTAACATAATTAGCTGCTGAATACACACACCATAAATGTCTGGCTTTATATTTACTCCTTGTAAGAAACGCTTTCTCATCATGTCGGTTTACCTCAAAAGGGTCTACAAATAACTAGTATTGTTGATCAAGTGTTGATTTAGAAAAATTTCAAATCTGCAATGAAAATTTGAGACAACCTAAATAAGTATTCATGCAAAACAGATATTTGTTTCTGGATATTTGTATTAAACAATTATCCAGTTTGTTTCATAAGCATCACTTCCTTATACGATGGCTACGATCGAAAAGAACCACTTTCAAAGACATCCATCATATCGCACACAAACTGAAGTCAGGTCAGTGCCCACTTTAGAACCTCCTCCAATCAGGAGGCGGTCGATGGCCCTTCAGTACCTGGCTTGTTGACGGGGGAGGGGGGCAGGAAGCTGGCAGGCATGGACCTGAGCCGATCGTTCTGAAGCGCCACCATGAAAGGCTCCTTCAAATGCTCTGGAAGAGAGAGAGAGCGCGGGGGGTCCGTCACTTGGCTGGCTTTGTGGATGAAAACCTACAGGTGCATGCTGAGAACATGCGCGAGGGAAAAAAAAAAAAAAAGACGCCCTTTCCTCTGAATGCGTCTGAATGTACATTTATCAATGCGACTGACTCCTCCATCCTAGCTGGACCTCTGTTAAGGTTATTTGATCCACCGCTTTGATACGCTGGCTTTGATATTTTAGCTGAATAGCAGAGCTCACCGGGTACGTCAAATCCCACGATGGCCACACAAAATTAACACAAACCCCAGAGAAAAAATAAAAAAAACAAACGTCCATTCCGCCGTTTACCTGGCAGCTGGGGGTGTATTTTCTCGGACATGTACTCGGTAAGGTTCCTTGGCATCTCCCCCCGGATGTCTACGAGCACCCTGGTGTGGGAGGAGGAGATCTGGTAGATGAGGACGGGGCTGGGGTGGGCCAGGACCAGCTCCGCGTGGTTGGCTTTAAACTGGGGACAGTCCTGGGGGGCGAGAAGAGCAGTGGGATCTGATCACAGCTCAATGTAAACCACGTCAGAAGTAAACATGATGAGGTCCATCTTTGCTGCACAGGTAGATTCTTTTCAAACCTAGTCGGAGTTTAGCTCTTTCAGGAGGGGAAATCCGATCGATATTTGGAAAATATTGAATTCAATTTCATTTTCTATTTTCCTATTAATTTTAAACCCTCTAAAAATAATAAATTCCTTGGTGAATGCATTCTATCTTGCAAAGAAGTGTGGCTAAACAGATATGAGCTTTCCTAGAATTAGACCCAGCTGAACAATCGGGATTTTTAATATTCCCCCCATTATGTCCAATCAGATGACTGCTTTCTTATATATTCATAACTAAATAACTAATCTATTTAACAAAGTGTCATCTTTGAATATTTCGTTTCCAAGCTGTCCAAATCCATCGATAAGGTACCATTAGAACTGGGACACTGAAACCAACCAATCAGCCGCTCATTGTCAATTAGAATGCGTTGCCATTTCAGGACCAGACAACCACTTCATCTGACTTTTGAGTTGCTCTTCTCCCTACCTTCATCAGACACCCAACAAAGTGAGAGGAGACGCGGGCTTTCCCGGGAACCAGATTTTTCCGGAATTTGGAGAAGCAGCCATCGGCCACAACGGTCAGCGCTGCGTGGATCTCCTGCCGGACAGAGGCGTCACGCGGTCAGCCCAAGCCCTCGGTCAAAGTGCCCCGTCCCTTTAGAGGAGCTACCCCCTCCCCTCTCACCTGGATGTCTCCAGTTTCTTTGTCTTTATACTGGACTCCAGTTACACAGCCGTCCTCCTCCCTCAAACCGGTCACGGTGCCTTCAACCATTGTGACACTGGGGGGCGCAATTGTACAATTACAAACCAAAACAGCTGGACGATGGAAGGCTGCAAACCACTTAGGACATTTCTATTTTACACTTTTACTTAAATCCCACTGAGTAGATTCAAATCTAAACAAATCAGAACTCTACATCTATTAACCTGAGGCTGAATAGAAGAGGGTACATATGTTAATTGACTTTGTGAGGCGGGTATTAAATATGCTCCTCTCCTCTAAAGCCCCTTCCATGCGTTCAGCCTCACTTTGGCTCGGCCATGGCGGCGCTCCTCAGGCCCATAATGAACCGGCCGTGATGGAAGGCTCGTCCGCATTGGATGCTTCCCCTCTCCTCGGGGTAAGGGATCTCCACCTCCGTGCTGCTGGCCATGTCATGGATCACATATCCGTTTACCAGATGGGCGTCCAGACCCTCCACCGAACCTGAAATCACACAACAACAACAAAAAACAGGGGATAAAGTTGCACATCGTACACTGCCTGTTCATAGCTCCCTGCGGCAAAGTTAAGGGCTTTAAAAAAATGTGTTTGTACCCAAAAATTGTAAGAATAAGAAAAATCTGCAACTTGCTTGGGATGGAACACATTGGCTAAAAGCATTAAACCTACATTAATCCATTTTCTATGCAAATGGAAACTTTTACACCATGTAACAAGTATACATTATTACAACAGAGTAATAATAGAGTTTGGTTAGATTTATTTTGCATTCATAAAGTTGTTGTTGTTTTTTCGTTGTTTTTTTGGTCTTTAATTACCAAAATCAAAGCAGTGGTATGGGTGAGAATGTTAGGAAAACAGACACCTCTAAACACCAATTAATTCTTCCGGAACATACATTTTCTGACAATCGGTGGCAAAACTTTCAGGATTGGAGTGATGTTAAAAGCTCTGCATGGGTAAATGGGTATTGAAGTGAAGACTTTTCGGTTAAGAGCTCAGACAGAAACCTGTCTGTTAAGCCTAATTATTCCTGTGGGGGTCAGATTTCATTCACAGCTTGGCACCTTGTGCAAACAAACTAAATCCCACCTACTTCAAACCTCCAATGTGAACACATGAATTAAAAAAAAGAATGACTTAATACATGGAGATAGAGATAGTTTGAGAACTTGTTAAAGGGTTAATGCAGAGTGTGTTTACAGGGCACCTTCCAGTCCCAGCTCCCGCAGTGCTCTGTACCCCCCCGGCTGCAGCAGCTCCCCCACTATCCTGTCGGGCTCCTTCAGGTCCCTCTCCACCACTGTCACCTTCCTCCCGTCCCGGGCCAGCACGGCCGCCATGGCGGAGCCCAAAACCCCGGCGCCAACTATCAGCACATCTGGATCCGCGGCGGAGGACTCCGCTCCTGCCGCGCGCCGCCTCCGGTTACTCCGCAAATAGTTCTACACGATTAAAAGAAGAAAAAATAAAACACTTTGGCACTTTGTATCAAATTTCCTGACCTGACTTAAAAACAAATTTCGTGTTTTTAAAAAAATATATATATTTATATATATATATATACATTGTAAAAATTCAAATTTGAGGAGAACTATCTTACCTTATTAGGGCTGCTGTTTGTTTTCTTGCTGCTCCGTGTCGCAGGTTGAGGGATTAATTGGTTGACGACAGGTAAAAAGGACAAAAGCCCTAGAGGCCGATTAAACAGCTGAAAGACTGGGAACTTCTGGCCGTGGAAAAAACTGACATATGACAGCAGCAGCCCGGCCACAAAACAGAAAACTGCGGTCATGGCGATGTCTTTCAGCGCCAAACTCAAGACGAAGTCGGATTTTTTGTAAAGATAGGTGAAGGTTGCTACTCCCAGGAACATCCACATCTTTTTTAAATAATTGTAAAGGCTAAATAAAGGTAAATTATAACTAATTAAAAATATATGTGGACGTCCAAACGATTCTGGTTTTAATTTAGCTTTTGAAGTTTCAACAAAATTAATACTAATTTAGAGCCCAAAACCAGCGGTGGTCTTTGATAGAGCCAAATTGTTGCCAGCTGAGTGGATGCTGCTGAATAATTTATTAAACTAGGAAAGCCATTCCTGATTAGCCAGTTTTACATGCGCGCGTGCTCCACTGCTCAGCCAGCCAATCAGAGTTGATTAGTGGGTGAGCAGAGCTCACGCTTTGCGCTGATTGGACAGCCACGCCAGCACCGAGCCTCCCCTCGTACATTGATTGGACGGCCGTCCGGCAGGACTGTAGTATGATGTGATGTCAATGGAAAGCGAGATTTTCATTTCTTTGACAGTCGAGAGGCTGAATTAAAACAAAGATTGATCATGTTTTGCAGGAGAAGTCTCTCTGTGACGTTACCACGTACCGTCATTTGATTTTAAGACAATTTCTGGCTGTCTTTACTCTGTGCGGTGCTCTCATTTTAAATGGCTTAGCTGCTAAACGCACATCTTTGCAGGTGTAGAATAAAATATGCGGAGGGAGTCCTCTTTCCAGTGTTATCTAACAGTTGACAGCAGTTTGTATTGACAGAGAGTTAACTGGAATAAATTGATTTTGAAAGAAAGGTTGGGAGCACAAAGAGAACAACTATGCTTAATATATTTAGCACACCGACCTGTGTATGTGATTACAAATTCAAAGTACGTCTTTGGAAATATTATTTGGGCTTTCAGGACCAAAGCTCTGTTTGATTTCACATCACTGGGCAGAAGTTACAGACACTTCACAGACCTATAAGGAAAATTAGGAGGCTCCACTCACAACCCTCTAGGGTTTAAGGGACTGAAAGATAAAACCCAGTATCACAGAGCATGACCCGGTAGTTTTTGAGAACGCCATATAGTGTAATCAGCAAACATAAAGTACAGTGCTGAATAATATGAAACAGGCTGAATGAAATGATACACTATCTCTCAGAGTCAAAGGCTTTGGTCTGCACGTACAGTTCTCGTCCTAAATCCGACTTCAAAAATTAGGATATCAGATTAGAAAGACAAACACAAAACAACTCCGATCTAAACAGAGAAAAACAATGCTTTATATGGGTCTCAACAATGAAGATCATACTTTAAAGATTTTTGACTACCGTTTAGTGCAACTAATCATTATTTAATTCCCCTGTGGATCAACATACGTGCAGACTTATGTTCTGTGAACTGGACTGTGGAAGCTGCCAATAATCATGACAGGGGAAACTTGATTCTGACAAAACAAGTTCAAACAGTAGACATTAGCTCCTAAATGTATATCCAGATAATTTCTGATGACAGCAGCACCAAAAAATGACATCACTGAATGTTCATGTGGTCTAATTACATGTTCCATGTGACTAATGACTATATGACTAATATAAAACTTTTTAGAAAACAAAGGATCATCTTGCTGGCAGACCTTCATCATCACTTTGACAAAATCCTGAGGCCCAAGCTCCGATTAGATGTAATGATTAAAGATTGCCTCGTATTTCTCTTGCTTTCCTGATGTTGCTTTCGGCTCACCGTTTTGCTTGGCGAAAGCCTGAAATCATAAAAGAAAGCATATCTGTGGGTTCTCTGCTTTCACTCAGTATGTAATATTCAACTGTTTTACCCTTAAAGTTTAGAAAACCCAAATAATGGAAGACTAAACTGCACTCCCCTCGAATAACTGAGTCTTACCTCCATGTCCTCCAAGCTGGCACTACCATCTTCCACCTGCTGTCCCAAGCCATGGCTGAAGCTCGAGTATCGCTCCTGCTCACCGGTGCACATACAGTAGTTTGTTCATTGGCATGCTGTTTAAGTTCTTTTTTATGTGCGTGTAACTGACTGCATACCTTCACCATGCCAGCGATCACCCCGTCCTCGACGATGCGAACGGCGTTCCTGAGCCCTCTTGCGAAGGCGTCCATGGCTCCAATGTGAGCGATGAAGAGGTCCTCCAGGTCTGTGGACTCTCTGCGCACCTTCGCATCAAAGTTCAGGCCTCCTGGCTGCAGGCCGCCCTGTTCAACGATGACCTGTAACGCATTAGACACCACCTCCATTTTAATCTGCTCCAACTAAGGATTCTACATCACAATAAACAAAGTTTTGTATACTCAAATCGTCTTATAAACGCCATTTAGTTTGGTCTTCGGGCATTACTGCTGCTGCTTTCAACCTTGTTGTAGCACCATGTGAACCTCCCCTCTCCCAGGGATTTTGGGCTGCAGTTCTAGATATGGGCTGGAACAGTAGAACAATTCTGGCTCTAAAAGAAGCTGGAGCCTCTTGGCATTCTCATTGTCTGATAATGTCTCCAGTGAGAATCTTGAAACCTTGTAGCCAATTGTTTTGTTTTGCTGCAATTTAACTGTTAAATAAATATAACAAAAAAAACAGATAAGTGCATTTGCATTACTTATACAGCACTATGTGTAAAATAGATTTAGAAACCAAATCAAAGGGTGGGTCAAAATCTAAATGTATTCTGACTGGACTTAGTCAAGATTGCAGCATCTCAATTAAAAAAATTAGTTACAACAATGTTTAGACATCACAATTCCTTGGTGCAATGACCAACACTGTATCCCACTGTCAAAAAAAAAAAAGTATATGTAGCCTGAAATGGGTGTAGGTGTCCCATAATAACAAATGACTACTGTCCGTGTTGCGATTAAAACCTCTATTTTATTGTTAGCAGAATAAATACAAAATCTAAATTAAATGACTGCAGTGACAGTCATTTTGCTGAAACCTTTTTCCTAAATCAGCTGAAACTGTGACAATCTGTATCAACCAGATATTGTCTCCTCTTCATCTTTTCATCTTTAGTGTCACGCCATTTATCGGTTGCACTTTTTATCTTTATAAATCACGTAAAAAGTTCAGTGCCATTTCCATCTCTTGTGTTTTTTAGCATTACTTTTGGACAATGTCGCTTTTGTGAAGATCACATAGCAGTACAGCAGTAAACAATTTCAATGAATGAGCTTACCTTCATGACCAAGGTGGTGTTCTTAATGTCCATGGGGAACTGATCGGTGTCCCACCCCAGATCAGGAGAGCCGGTGTTTGAGTCCACTGAACCCAACATGCCAAAACTGCTCACCAGTCAGCAAGGATGTAAAGAAGAACGTTTCACTCATGTCAGAACAGAAGCTATGGCAGCACAATTTGAAGATGTGCTTTACTTTAAAATAGTAGCATGGTAAAATCACGATGTCTTACACAGAAGCCATGACGATGTCGTGCTCATAGGCATGTCCTGCCAGCATGGTGTGGTTAGGCTCGATGTTCAACTTAAAGTGACTCTCCAAACCATAATGCTTTAAGAACCCTATGACACTCATGGCATCTAAAGCAGAAAAGAGAAGAAGTCAAGACTGGCAGTGAATGACGAAGCTGCCTGATCACTAGCAAATTCAGGAGGCCTCACCGTAATCATACTGGTGCTTGCAGGGCTCCTTCGGCTTGGGTTCAATAAGAAACTGACACTTCAACCCGATCTTCTCCTTGTACTCTAGGGACAGATTGACGGACTTAAAAATACACAAACGTGAGACTAACAGAAAAATCAAGACTGCTCCTGCATTCCCGCGCGCACTTACTGGTGGCCATTTTGAAAAAGTTGGCCATATGTTTCAGTTCGGCTGCGACGTCTGTATTATGGATGGAGAGAAAACCTTCTCTACCTCCCCAAAAGACTGAGGAGACAAATAGACGCCAATTACAGAGAGTGGACAAGATAGAGATGGGGTAATTTACAAGTCGTAACAAAGACGTCCTTACCAAAGTTTTCTGCTCCCAACTTCTTGGCAATGTCCAGACCCTTTTTCACCTGAGCACCAGCATAGGCCAGAACATGGAGGTCTGGGTTAGTGGCTGCCCCGTTCATGTACCTGCACATTTAATGTTAAAAAGGTTTCAATTACATTTGGGACACTTGGCTGTCCAGTTTCCTCAATGTTAGAACCAACACATTATAAGACAGTTTAAGGACGTACATGGACTTCACTGGTCCAAAGTCAGATCAGCTCCAATCTGTTATGGTCAAGTCAAAAGTTCTTTGTTTTTTTGTAATTTTCAAAGGCTTTCTGAAGAGTTCTTGGAAAACCTGTCAAGCCTTCTCACATTATCTGGGGCCACGCCTTCAAATATCAACCTTAAAGCACAAGGGTACATTACTTTTTTTTTTCACAGGGTCGGACAGAGACAAACAACCACTCACACTCAAATTCACTTTTTAATTTAACAAACTTTGCGTACCCATGTAGCTGAGGCTGCAAAGCAAACTAATGCTAGATCTTTGAGTGGTTAGTCTAACATGCTGACTTAAAATAAGAATAAAACAGACATAGAAATGGCAACTCTGAATGTCTGAGTCAGTCACTAGGATATTATGTTCCCGTTTCATTTTTGAAGAAAACAGGAATTCTTTAAAACAATAATGAAAAAAATTAGAGAGTTGCCATTTTGGCCTTGTTTTGTTTCCACGGGACAGGAACACCTTGCGGTCGGTCACTGTCTCTACCGTGAACTCTGTACTCTATTTGAAAAAGGAATCAAATGTTTGCAATCACTGAACCTGATAAATACTAAAAATGGAAAGGGAAAGCTGTGCATCAGCTAATTCTGCAATACTTAAATGAACTCTTTTTTCCCCATCTCGATGGCATGTTGAGTAACCGTGATGTGGAAATTTAGTTATAAGAATATTATTTATTCAGGTTATTTATGCTAAAGGTGGTTTATCAAACCGTGCCTCTGCATTTGACTTATCTAAGGTTAAAGTAACAATGATGCACTGTAACATGTCACATGATATTACTGAAGTTGCATTTCCCTAATTTTAATGTGCGTTTTTTTTTTATCAAGCTCTGATACATCTAACCTTAAAGATGAAAGATTAAATTTTCCCCTTTGATTGACTGTAGTTTAGTGTTTTGTTAGATGCATTAAATCTACATCTCACTTATTCCTGGCAGCTATTTCCTTCTTTTCTCCGAAGCTACTCTCCCATTTAAAAATGTATTTTTTTCCACTCTCCATCTCTTTTACAATCTGCTCATTTTGAGATTTGAAAGTACTCTGAGACTTTACTTTTCTTTATATTTCAATGTTGTTAGAGATAAATAAAAACGAAAAACACGTTTAAAAAAAGTGCCCTGACAATGGTGGGAAATAGGGAGTGAGCCTACAGTACATAAAGTAAAGGAGGTTATAAGGAGAGAAATATGTTAATAAAAACATAGAAATTGTGTAACAGTAAGCAGATTATTTCACATTTGAGTCTGTAAAGCTACATAAGATAGTTGCGTTCTACAGCAATGGATCTCTGCAAATATTAACACCTCAGTGTATTTGGGCAGTCACTCACATACCGTAATAACTCCACCTTGCAGAAAGACAAACGTATCCAGTATACTGGCTGGGGCAAAGACAGAGGTCATGTCTTCAAAATTGATCAAACCTATTCTACATTTCCCCACAGAAATCGGGTTTTTCTTTACTATAGTTATTTAGGGGGAAAACAGGGCTTTGAGATTTGGAGCTAACAGCCCATGGGATAAAGACTTTTATATTAATTTATTAATTTCTTACCTAATATGCTTAGTTTTTTTCCCCTTTAGGTAAGGCTAACCCTATAACTGGGCTCAGAATACTGACCTAGGGTGGGCAAAGAGGTTGCAGGTGACCCACAGAACTTTGACTCCAGTCTGCCTCTGCAGCTGGAGAGCCAGGTCTGTGATTTCATCCAGATTCTTGTTGGACTCCTCCAGGGAGGAGCCCTCGGGGCACATGTCTCTGTGAAAACACGAGCACAGCTGAAAGATTGTTGCTCACATCCAGTCAAATGCATCAAAACTAACATCTTATCATTCAGCAAACGCATGCACGGAGATGGCCCAGAGCAGACTGAGGAAGAGCATTAGCAAGAGTGGCCTCTCCTAGAACCAGCTGAGTCTTTGACTGCCCATCATTATATTTTTCAGTTTCTATTTTTTATTCTTTGGATTTGTGTCAAATTTAAACAGCTTGCTGTCTAAATTGAAGCTGAGAAATAAAAGCCCCTTTGAGAGTGCACTTAGCCATATTTCACAAAGCAAAAAGGCTTCTACATGACTTTTTAAATAAGAAATTTGGATTGTGGAATTAATATAAGTTACTTACCGGTCATGAAATGTGTAATACTTGACCTGTAGAATAAAATAGAAGTTATACAAAAGTTTTTTGTTTTTTTTTAATTGAAAGCATTAATTCTGAAAGAGCCAAATTTAATTATCTCGTGTTGTTTCAAATGAGCCAATCTTTTAATACTCTTTTTACATGTTTTAGAGCAATGGTTGATGTTACAGTCCCGTCCACAGACTTGAATTAGTTTAGTCAATTCATCTATGAATTGCTAAAGCTTTAAAAAGACACCAAAATCCCTGGGTAACAACAAAAACCTGACTACAACAACAGACCCCAAAGAATGGGAGGATATTATTTCAATACCATAAGGTTACAATTTGCTAAATATATAAGGAGATGCAAGATACTTTATCTTACTGAAATAAAGCTTATATATTCCCATATATAAGCTTTATTTCCATCAGATAAGATGTAAACCATCTGTAAAATGACAGGCAGAAGGACTCATGAGTGATGCTAACGTTATGTGGTTCTTGGATGCTACTGCAATGGAGATGTGTCTTCTTAATAATTGTCCAAGCTTGACTGTTATAAGTAAATTGTTTTTAAAAAATTAAAAGTGGAGAAAGGACATTAAATAGTATTCTTGTGATATTAAGGCGAGTAAGAACTAAATTATCTACAGCAGATTAACAGTATCTGAAAGCAACGTCAGTAAGAAACGTGCCAGAAGCTATTCTTAAGGAAGGGGATAAGGGAAGAATGGCTGAGGTGTGAAGACACAAGACGTGAAACGGAAAGAAGTATGCCTTTAACCCAAAGCTCAAACCACAACACGGGTCATGGGTGTGGAATCATTGAACACTAAACACAATAAAAGTTAGTCAAAATACAAAATAAGCTTTGGTATGAACTTCAAGAAGCTCTTTTCATTAGTAGTACTTTAAGAAATTACTTTTAAAAATCATGTAAAAGGTCTTCAGGCTAAGTTGGAGATGAAAGGTAGCCATTTCAAATAAAATGGTCATTTATAATAGAATTTTGCACAGTAACATGAGAATATCAAAGCTCAGCTGAATCTCCTCACCCCAAGCTTGGTGAAGAACTCAAACGCAGCACCGAGTCGCCTCTTAGCCGACTCCATCGGAGTGCCTTCGTTCCATTTCCGGTGGAGGGTTGGAAACCCAAAAGGATCAGCACCTACACACACACACACACACACACACACACAGGAGAAACGTCCTCACCTGAATTCAGGGAGGAAATCTGCAGACTGTTGGGTGATCCATACGTTACCGGTTCCACAGAAGGAGTGCCAGTAGCAGACTGAGAATCGCAGCCAGTCCTCCATCGTCCTCCCCATCAGCACCTGCACAGAGGAACACCCACATCAACACATTTTAAACGAGAAATGATGGCAAAGCCTTAAGGCTTAAAAGTTGTATTTAAAAAAAAAGATTCTTAAAAAAAAAAAAATCACAAAACAATTTGACATTACATACTTATGTAATTGTGATAGAACATTCTCTTAATCTGATTATATGCTAAGTTTACTGGTAATTAATAGAATATATTATTACTTTTCCCTCCAGGGAACCTTGGGCACATCGTTTGGACAACTTGTATGGTCGTGCTGGTTGCTCTCACTTCATGAAGTTTGCTTTTAATACATTTATTACTTCAGACGGAAGACTCTTGTTTAGATTAAAACTTTCACACCAGTCAGTTTCAGGCAGTGAGGGCAGATGTGTGTGTGTTTGTGGGACACACCTACCTCCTCAGCATTGTAGTGTTTGAAACACATGACTTCCGTGGGTCCCGCACCCGGAAAATACGGGATCTTGGGAATGCCTGTGGAACATTGTCAAGCATTATTTGACGAGAGAGGAGAAAAACGACCAGCTCAACGGGCACCGGCCATGTGTTGTAGTGACAGAGTTACGGGGACAAAATGTCTTTTGGCCAGAGTTCGCCATTAAAACAGACTTTCCGTAACAGTCTGGACGTCAACACACACATGTCAGTTAATGTGCATCCGTGACACTTACCAGGAAAGAATTCCTCCCCGTGAGCAGCCATAACCGGTTCGCAGCTGCTTCAAACACGCCGCAAATTCAGCCGACGTCCCTTTAAACTCGCCCACACAAACAAAAAAGAAAAGAAAAAACGCGCAGTTACGTTTTCCGCCGCTAGGTGTCGCTAAAGCCCCGCGAAATTCGACTCGGCTCTGAAGCACTCCTTCAGTTTAAATCACCCAAAGAAACTTTTTTTGATTTTTTTTTTTTTACTGTTTCAAGCTATGTCACTTCACGTTTACATCTCCGGCTAATTTAAAGTATCAGAGAGCTTTTCCCTTTGGTTCCACGGAAGGAATTAATTATCAATTATAGAGGCATTTTGAAAGGTGCAGGTCATCTAGCATTAGCACGAGAGTCCGTGCTAGCTTGAAAGCAATAACAATTACCTTAGTGTCTCACGTCGGTGGCAGGGCCGAATCTATGTAGGGGCCAGAGGGGGCCCTCCCAACCTCAAATAAATGTTGTGCCCCCTCAAACCAAATCCCCTAAAATTGATTATTAAATGCACAAGGTGACGCCATCTTCTCCTATTGGTCCTCGTTTCTGATAATGTCTCGACTCTAGGTCTTTAACGCCCTCCACAAAAAGAACAGAAAGGCATAAAAGCCTCTATTTGTTCCAGGAATCCATTGTTTAACCAGCAGGGTGAGCTCCAGCTGGACCAGATGCGGCCCCTGCAGCTTTTCTTTGGGTAGAAAAGTTTTGTCAATGGAGTTTAGAGACCAGCCCGCCAAATCCATGGTTTTAGTTTTTAGGATTTAGGGGGGAAATGCCGAGAAAGGCTCCCAGATGCAACAGGACAAAGACAGCAGGGAAAGGAGGCAGCAGGTTAAAGCAGGTCTGCACTCGCCCACAGAAGAAGAAGAAGCCACAGGCCCATTTAAAAATATGTATACATTTATATATATATATATACAATATATATACATTTCATTGTGCCCCCCCCTTAATAGCCCCCAACAAAGTAATCTTGGACACGCCCCTGGTCGGTGATCTCCCGTGGAGCTAAAAATGAAGGACGTTGAAAAATAAAGTAATAACATGGGTCAGAAATGGGGTGACCTGTCATTTGGAAGTCATTACACATGGGACTATCTCGGTAGCTAGGATAATAATTATCAGGTTCAAGTTCATATGACTAGATTTCAATAGTCTTCACATTTATTAAAAGTAATAGGAAATCCAATTTTCCAATTTTTTGGAGCAGTGCCCTGAACGCAACAGGGTATCCATGAAAACTGCATAGATTTGATCCAAAAAATGTTTTCATGCAGAATCCAAATCTTTTGATTGTCCTGTGTTATGTAACTATATATTCTGTCTGAAGTCTTTAAAATGTTTGTGCAAGTACGAAAGGTGTAAAAGTGAGAATGCTTGGGAGTACATCACCTGAGCTTGAACACAAATGTTACATTCTAATGAGCTCCAACTCAAGATTTCTGAAATTATGGGCTTACCAGTGTTAATAAGAAGTCCCATCTTGGACTTAGTACTCTGACAATCCCTGGTATCAGGATGCGGGTGTTTTTTCTACTTGTGTCATTCACTCCTCCCCTCCCTCTTGTGGCTGCTTTGCATTGTTCCCCATTGCTCAACCTGCGGGCGGGTGTCGACATCCAGTTGTTGTGGGTTTGGCTGTCTCCTCACTCCTTCAGGTTGTCAGTACAGTCTAATTCTATCATCCATTAATCTGCTTATCCTCTTTGGTCTGACCTCCCCTCAACACCAAATAGTTGTGATTCCCACATGATACAGACACCTCTCTTAATCTGAGATTGGTTACTTGCCGATCTGTTCTGAAATGCCATGACAAACAGGTTATGAAGAGCAGCTGACCATTTTAATAGTTACAGTTCTGACAGAACTGCAACTGGAAAATATAAATGTAGGAGCTATTCCTTTTTTTTTGTGCATTCTTTTAAATGTAATTTTTTTGAGCGGATTTCTGATTAATATATTTGTTTAATTTAGTTGTTTAGAGTAAATGTGTAGGTTTGTAGTTTGCTTGAATCAAATATTTATTTTATTTGCAGTAGCCTATGGGTATTTCACATCTAAATTTAGGAAATTGGATGCTCGTTGGTGGTCATATGGTTTTTGGTCAACCAGTCAGCAGGCAAGCTGCCACTCAGTCATGGGGTGAGCAAATGTGGCAATCAGGCAGTTCAGTAGGGATACAGCAAAGGGAACACGAGAGACAAAAAATCTACATGTTTTTTTGTTTGCCTGCCAACTTAAATCGACTAAGGAACTTCATTTTGACCTTTGGAACTTTTTTTGTACTGCGTAATTCAGAAACCTACCTGGGTTAGGTGACTACCGTAATTGAGTTATGCCTTCAGTTTGATCAATTAAGCTCATTTTTTGGCTTTCAAGAACACATAGTCCTTACAATGAAGTAACGAAAACAAGTAAGAAGGAAAGGAAGAAGCTTTGAGGAAAGGAGTTATGAAATGATCTCATATCCTATGCATGTTTGACATATGTTTATTTTCATTTACAACGGTGCCTTTAGAAAATATCTGATGCCGAAAAATCAACAGAAATATAGAAATGATACCACTTACATATAATCCATAAATACATAATAACCCACTTTAGAAAAAGCACACAATATATTTAGGGCCTTTGGTTGGGACATATGCCGGTCGGAAACAACCCTTACAGAAGAACAGCTCTCTGTGCATCATTGAAGCCCTATCATGTTTCATATCAATAAAGATAATAAAGTGCACACATGATGCCGTTTGCTTTCTCACATTAGTAATTCATGTTTTGCATTGTTTAGGATTTTACAGCCCTGTGAAATCCTGATGGTTGTCCACTTTTCTTATATAATATTTTTCTTCTTTTTGTTTGCATAAGATAAAGATAAAATGGAAGGCAAAAGAAACCCAACCCAGTCCCTAGCACTATAGACCGAGGCACTTGAGTACCTAACGTCTCGGGTTTGGCATCATGAAGTTTGGCACATGAGGGTGGCGTTGCACTTGGAACTGCGTTGTGTGTGCATGTCGGGGTGTGTTGGAGAGTGTCCGGTCCTGGAAAACTCGCCGGCATGGCTTTTCTAGTTACAACCTTTTATGCCTCAGAAAATAACTGCTGCAAAGGTATAGATGTACATTCATCGTCCAAATATTTACACTTCCACCAAATCAAGTACTTAAAAAAAAAAAGAAAAAGAAAAAATCTACAGTGATTTCTGAACCCCTCTCTTGCAAAGGTTCAAGATGAAAGTCTGCACTTGCTAATTCAGGTGACCCACTTAAGGGGCTTCCAGTCACTTGAGAGATGAAAAATACTCCACCGCTCCACGGATTTGTTCAGCCCCCTTCAGCAGCTTTTCTTGGCTTCCTTAAGGTCACTGGAGTAATGGTGGACAGGCAGGTGGGTGCGGGAGCTGCTATGATGTGGAAGGGTCGGGCCTGCTGTGCTCCCTCTTCTTCTTCTTCTTCTTTTTTTTCCGGCTGCACGGCTTGCACATACAGCACAAAATGCAGGGCGAGGCCAGCAGGAGGAGGGGTGATGTCACCAGCACGATGATACTCACCCCCACAAGGATACCCACCACCTGAGTCAAAACAGAGCGAGACGCTGTAACGCACACGTGGCAACATTAGAGTGTTTAGAAATTCAACAAAAACGTTTTCCATCCGTCTTTGTTTTGATGAGCAGCATACCAGTGTGGAAATTCTGTCTTTTGTACCAAAGATTTGCATAAAAGTAAGACAAAAGATAATTGTGCTTATGGTTGTTCATATTTCTGCTGCACAAATAAAAAATTAAAAAAGAGTGAGAAAGGGGGTAAATATGCAAATAATGCAGACGTAAATAAACGTACAAATTAAACCTACAACAATTCGGTGAAATACCACAGTATAACAAAGAAAAACGCATGAATAAGGAGAATTAAAGAAAGTCAATATAATGTTGGAGTAAACATTTAGAACGAAAACTTAAATGCATGGATAAATAGATAAGAGATTATGAAAATAATCAAAGAATAACGAGTAGTAGTTGTGAAATAAAGATTTTTTCAGCTTACTCTATACATTGTATGTAATGTTTTAATTCCTGCCTAATTAAATCATTCTCTATTTAGTAGCACTGCTTAGCATGTGTTTCTAGCTGCCCATATGACCACACCTTAAGCTTAAGCTAGTAGCTGAGCAGGACTGCCAAACAACAAGTTGACCTTCTTACTCAGTCAGTGGGTGACCCAGCTAAAAAGTGTTTGACTCATGGCGTTCTCACTTACCCAGCTATAGGCAAAATAGTTGGGTAAGTGAGATGTTCACCAACCACAGATGGGTCCTCATCACCTCAGTGTATAAATAAAGGCACAGAAAAGAAACATATAAAGTTTTGTTGCATCTAGAAACACATTGTTTAAGACTCTCTGAACAGACTTTGTATTGTGCCTGCACAAGACGTACTTTCACAACAAAACTGGCTGAGGGCAGCTTAGTTAGAATGTTACTGCAGCTACAGGAATTCCAGGAAAACTCACATCTAAATAACCTGTTCATCAAGTGTGCCAGCGTGAGTGTAACCAGGTCATGCATGAGTTGTTTGGCAGTGTAGGACTGTACTTCTACTCCCAGACACTCAGAAAGACACACAAGCCAAAGCACGGCCAGAAACTTCACAGGTAATCTGACACCAATCATGTGGTAATAATGGCATTGATGTGAGGAAAAGCACAAAAAAGTAGGTTTGGAGGACAAATTTGGCCTTTTGGATTTGAGCACGGATTAGCTTACTTTAAAGTCTGAGAAGGGATTTCTTGGGCCCACTGGAGGAAAAACAAAACCCCACATGGCCCATAAGAACAGACTTTACAGGTTTTTAAGTGGACATTTAGCTATAAATGCAGAAGTTTTGGCCCTTACGGGGTTGACGGCAGAACAAGGCCTTACAATTGGAAGCCATGCGTGCAAAAACCCCCGTCTCTCATAGATGGCTGTGACAGCTAATCCCCTCAAACAATGACAGCCTCACCACAAGCCAGAAATGAATACGCAGTGTTCGCTCCGCTGCTGGTTGAAACCGGGAAAACAGCTCACCTGCGTTCTGTTCCACATGACCGATGCCCTCGAGTGTCCCAGCTTGTTTCTGCATGGTCCCTTATCGTAATGCCTCAGGAAGATATCTCCCTGTATTACAATAACCAGGTTAGCTTTGCCTGACTGATCATGCATGCATCAAATCGGCGAGTTGAAGGAGACTCACGTCCAGATTCTGCAGACAGTACCAGCAGAAAGTGTGTTTGCAGCTTTTGCACAGCATCTGTGCGCAGCCCTGGTTCCTTTCGATGTAGATACCGCACATAGGACACTGCTTGATGGACATGTCGGTGTCACTGTTGGAGAAGGGGGGAAAAAAGACGCATTTGGATTGTAGTTGACTTTGGGAGTGAGAGGCCATGCGTGACCCCATGAGCAAGAAAAATTGTGCAATCTTTATTTAGCAGCGAGAGACAGGTTAGTGCTTGCCTTGAATTGGGTTAATTATTTTTGAGACGCATGCGTGTGAGAGGAACTCTCCAAGCACAGTGCAAGGCCATCTTTAGATATGGCTTTGTGGTTGATGGTTTCAGTGAACGAGCGCTAGGATGTCACATACACAAGAGACTCTCCCTTATCTTGCACGAAATGACTAACGGTTGTTTATCTGACCAGTGAGATTAAGGGAGGCCATAAAACTAAAACAATGAGATGGAACATGCAAAAGCCCTCAGAAGCTACATCTTGATCAGAGAAGTGGCCTAAAGGCACATTTGTACAGTAGGAATGACCAGCCCTCCATCCTGAACAGCTCAGTGCTGAGGCCACTGCTTCACTGCGGCTGACGGGCTTCGGCTGTTCTAACTTTCTCAGCACACCAGCCGCCTCCTCCCGCTGGCACAGAGACAACGGAATTCCAATAGAACCCAGTGGCTCCCCAATGACATCAGTCAATCTGGCAGAGCCGCAGCTTAACACAGCACTCTTCCCTGTCCCAGAGGCACCGAATGAAGAACCACCACAAAGCTGCTGGTCCTAAAATAAGGTTTTTATTCAGCGCAGAGCCACTACTACAGCAGTCAAGCCTTATTAATATGAAATAGAAAGATCTCATTTGAATATTTTCCAAATAATAGGGTGTTACAAATGACGCATCGCTGCTTTCATTTTGAAAATATGATCCATGGAAATCTGATTCCCTTTTAAGTATTGTGACAGCAGTAACACGTGCGTCTCTGGGGCCCCTCAGAGCCTGGACTGCAGCCCCCGTCCCGTTTTTAGCTTAGTGCCATTTGCAAAGGGCAGCTCGGCAGCTGCGGGCGGCGAGCAGCAGCCCGAGCTGACTGACTGACTGACCTGCTTTCGTGAGAGGGCGAGGGTGATATCATGGGCTGGCGCTCTGGGCAGGCGTGGCCATCGTGCCAGGGCCCCCTGCAGCCGGAGCAGAAGACGGCGCGGCACGTCGGGCAGGGAACGGCGGCCGGGCGGCCCTCGGTGCTGGGCTGCACGCTGCACACCGCCTGACATTCAAGCACTGGGCACCAGGCTTTATTTGGGTCAAGTTTCACTTCTGTGAAGGCACAAAGACAGAAGTATTGTAAAAAAATAAAAAAAATACACAAAAATGTTACCTGTAAGCCATCTCTAAAGGTAAATCCTCTGGTTTCATCATCTTTACAAACGTGAGCTGACTTTAAATCTGAGGTGTCCATGTCAGTCAAAAGTTGACAGGAATGTTGTCATTTAGTATCTTGAAGGCTTTTTTAAAAAAAAATTCACAAGTAGTCATATAGGTAAGTAATCATGCCATAAACTCACAGAACAGCCAGATTTCTACTCGTCTATGAGTTTTCTTGTTTTATGGTTTTTCCCTGATTATAGTTCAAATTTGTTTGAAAATCACCACACAAGTTGTACAGAAATTGTAATAAAAAAGCCTGCCGATGTTTTAATTAAAAATATATAAATAAAAATATGTCTTGCATAGTAAAAAACAAAAACAAAACTTTAAATCTACAATATTCCATTAAAGTAACAATTCCTTTGGGACTAACAAAGTATCCATTATATCTGAATCGAGTGCTTTATAACTTCAAAGAAATTCGGGTGTTTCTATCAACCAAAAATAGTTTGAAATTTGGCAAAGAACTCATAGTCATGTTGTCCTCAATTGTGTTAACAGGCCGGCCTGCTTCTCATTCACTAGGAGGTGAATCGATCCTGACTGGTCACACTGACATATTTCTCCGACAGGGTGACGCAGCGTGGGCATGGCGATGCATATATATGTGTGCTTAAACCTGCTACTCAAAAGTTTTAGGAGATGGAGAGAGACATCAGACATGACTAGGGCTTTGAACACAGTCACTATCAGAATAGTTTGAAATGGCAAGCATTTGCTGATAAGCCCGCAGCACAGCTGACTCAGAGTAAGAAAAATTACAACGTTATAAGCCACAAGAATATGGCTTTAAATGGCTTACACATTCTTTGGATTTCCAACTGCTTATCTTTGACGGTAAACATAGGTTTGGAGGACAGCAGAAGAACAAGATCTGTGATGTAAATGATTACATAAAAGTTCCAATCCAACAACGCACAACCAAAAGAAAACAGTAGTCCCCTGATGACTCAGCCTCTCATCTGGCCCTTACTTTAATTTCAAATAGATCGAAAGGTAAACATCCCTCCAAAGTAGCCTGTACTTTGAACTTTGTTTCTTTATTTCAATAATATGAGTCTCAGGGTTTATGACTGGAGCTAACAATAGCTGGCTTTACAGTGTTCTTTTTCTACGCAGTTGGAACAGACCCACATAAGCTGCAACGCAAACTACCCCTCAGTATGCCATTGAAAAATGTCAACAGAGAGCTCAACACTGAGCGCCATCGCAAACTTTTACACAAGGCCGTCAAATTCATTTACCCTGAAAAACCCGTTTAACACTTGAAGACACCCGTGTGACTGTGCTGGTGGTTGTTCTCAGTGTGACTGTGTTCTGATAGTAATTGCTGCTATAAAGCTGCGGAGTGGAATTAAAATAGAACAGAATAATCTATTCCACGCCTCAGGGATCGCAGTGGCCAGAGCGGAGGGGGGGGGGGGGGGGGGGGGGGG